AGCAAAGTCCCACTTTCTCCATTTCTTGCCATTGTTATCGTGCTCTCCAGACAAGCCCCAGCGAAGCCTAAGTCCTGCCGCCTATCGCAAACGGGAAATGAACCAGGTCACGCCAGGAAGAATCCGGGTCGTGAGATAAGTTCTTGCCTTTTCGACCGTGGATTTACTATATATCCCCCCTCAAGACCAGCGCTGTTTGATTTTCTCTGTTTCGAGTTTCGAATCATATCTCTTCTACTGTATATTCGAGCCCAGGTCGCAGCTAGACGCTGTCCCTGAGCTTTGATCCTCAACATGTTTTCGCAAGACGAGATCAAGGTGGCTCCTCATGACTCCCATTCCCCTGATACACAGGCGGCCGAGATCGAAGACCGCTATGAGGTCTTCAAAAGAGGCGATGGGCAAGTTGATTTCCGCACTGTGAGCTGGATCCGCGCGGGCGTGATTTTCTTGAAAAGTAAGGGGCCCCTGGAATCCGAATCCAAATCCAAATCAATACGAATCGTGCAGTACGCTGACCAAGGCCATTCTGGTAATCGTTCTAGTCATTTTCGCCACTGGTGTGCTCTCAATCCCATCGCTGATGTACCAGCTCGGTGCATTTCCCGGTGCTGTCAATGTCGTCGGCTGGACCCTCCTCAATACATATTGTGCCATCGTCCAAGGCAATTTTCGCAACAAATATCCGGGCTGTCACTCCATTGCCGATATGGCGCAGGTCGTTGGTGGTCCGATCTTGAAAGAAGTAGTTGGAGCTTTGTTCACTATCAGCTATGTCATCGTCGCTGCGTCTGGTATTATCGGCGTCTCAACGGCACTGAATGCGCTGTCACTTCACTCCATGTGTACAGTATGGTTCTCGTTGATTGCGACGATCATCATTGCTGGGTGTGCGAGTGTGCGTAAATTCTCCCACATTGGTTGGTTGACCTGGGTTGGATTTGCCAGTGTCTATATCGCCGTCTTCATCATCGTGTATGTCTTCTTTCCAACCAAACACTCAGGATTCTCTCATTTCTCATTGATATGCTGACCCTATTATACTAGAATTGGTGTCACAGTAAGAGATCGACCCGCCGCGGCGCCACAGACAGGAGATTTTGATTTAGGATACCGTGCCATTGGCAATCCCAGCTTCACGGTGGGCATCACCGCCGCGGCGACGATATTCGTGTCCAGTGCTGCAACATCAGCATTTCTTCCCGTGATCTCTGAAATGCGCAAACCCAAGGACTACCCCAAGGCAGTTTATATGAGCATGAGCCTGGTCACTGCTTCATACCTGACATTCAGTCTAGTCATCTACGCCTGGTGTGGCAAGTGGATCGCATCTCCCTCGCTCGGCAGTGCAGGAGAGACCGTCAAACGCGTCGCCTATGGGATCGCACTGCCGGGTCTCATCATCAGTGGCTGTTTGTATGTGCACGTTGCGGCGAAGTATCTATTTGTGCGGATCCTGCGTAACTCGCGACACCTCCAATCGAATACCATGGTGCATTGGGGAACATGGCTGAGCTGTACGCTTGGAATGGCTGCCATTTCATTTGTCCTGGCCTGTGCCATTCCCATCTTCAACTATGTGTTGGCACTGGTGGGCAGTCTGTGTTTTGCGCCCCTGGCTATCAGTCTTCCTGGTTGGCTCTGGCTGTATGGGCATGGGGAGTATCTGAGAGGGGGACTGTGGCGACAAATGATATATGGACTACACATTTTGTTAGTGTTGCTGGGAGTGTTTATGACGGTGGGTGGAACGTATGGGGTGATTGTTCAGATTAACGAGGCGTATGCGGATGGATCAATTTCGTCGGCATTTTCTTGTGCCGATAATAGTGGGTCGGTGGGGACATAAAACATAAAACATAAAAATATGTACTTATCGACACTCCGTACCCAATTTTACCCAATTTCGATTGGAAAAAACTGGGTCCGAGAATAATGCACAATGCAAAATTGATGTATATTAGTTGTGCTGCGAGGGAACAATAACTTGAATCCATACTAAATAATGAGTCCCTAATACTACGTACTACCTCCTGATACCCGTCTTTAATACCATAGGGTTGGCAGTATCTCTGGTATCATGTGGTATTGCGGTAGGGTACCGCAGTACTGCTACCTTAAGGTAGTTAGATGAATGTCAGCGTATCAACTCCGTACTCCGTACTAGCACTACATTTTCGCGCCTAAAATGACTCGCATTCGGATACATACCAGTCCAAAGTGGAGCCGGTGTATGAGCACAAGACCTTGAGGATGGAAGGTACCCACCGTTCTCAGTTCCGTTAAAGCTATTGGAAGGGAGAGTAAATTATGTGCCCAATTGAAAATGACTCGGGGATGACTACCTCACTTAGTATCCGCTGAGCTCCGGAGCAGCCGGGTTTAACGGGTTCGACTGGCTCCGTGCCGCCGAATCCGAGACGGGCCTTATCGGTTTTGTTCTTCCTGAAGGTCTAAAGTGTAAGGTGTAAGGTACCCTACAGGCCTTTCTCTTGATGTGATTCCTCTCTTCCATTCTCTCCCCCCTCCTCCTCTCTTTCACCTTCCCCTCTTCCCCTCTCCTCTTCCCCTCTCCTCTCAACGATTTCAACTCTTGACTCTCCTCGACTCTACTCTACTCCCATTTCTCAAATAATACCCAGTGATGCAACAATAGTGCTGAATTGAGCTCGACCCTATCAGCACTCCGTTATCAGTGCCAAATCCCCCACACGCGCACACCTTACACGCGCACAAACTCACACACTCACCCCCACACCACCTCACTCGCCATGCTTCTCATTCAACTCCCACTCGTGCTGCTTCTCAGCAGCTTCATCTCAGCAGCAGCGATCCCTTCCTCCCAGCACGACATCACCACTGCAGAATGGTCATCCCCGGAGACCGCCTCCTCCCCATCAGACGATGCCAACTCAAGGCACCTCGCCAAACGAAGACCCTATTACTTCCCGGAGACCGTCCCAGACGAAGAGGAAATCGCTGCCCGACTCTCCGCTCTTCGTGAGGCCGGCTACCTCCCAGACATGCAAACCCTGCAAGGACATGATCAAAAGTCAATCGGAACTCCGGATGCAGCGATCGACATGGACCCAAGTAGTGCACGGCCATCATCCACTCAGCAGCCCCCCTCCGCGCTATCCGAACGAGACACTCCACGCTTCAGCTGGGAAGATACCATTCCAGGCCTATTTCCAGCAGCGTGGTTCTTTGTCTTCGCCTCCGTCGTCGTCTGTATCGTGACCGTGGTTAGGGGACTAAGCGATAAAGGGAAACACTGAGCGACCAGCCAAATTGCGTACTCGTAACTGAGACCTTCCCCCCCGGTACGCGAGGGGAGAGGCGACCTTTCATTTGGACATTCCCGCCAATCCTACTTTACGACCTTACGACCGTAAGGTATTTTGATTTTGCGATCGGCACAATTCACTTGCCCCCCAATCGGTCTAATGTGCACGCGATACTGTGATGTCTGATCTTATGCCGAAATCATTATTCCTACACTACTACGCTCACACTTACCATTCTCCATTTACTACTCACCACTCAACCCCTCCCCGCATGAGTTACCGACCGAAACGAAACGCCCACAGAACGCCACGAAGCCCCTCCCCAACCACGCGTCCATGCCGCACGCATGGCTTCCCCTCTCCAGGCAAGTCGATGCAATGCCAAAAAATAGGCTGTCACACCCAAGAAAAGACCGTCCACCGCTAGTCCCGTTTCACTCCGCGGGTTTTCCAAGAAAAAAAACACCGACCACCGACCACCGACCACCGACACAGACGATCTGGGTCTGGTTCTGAGTCTGGGTCTGCGGGCGGATCCTTCCTTCTCCACCGACTCTGCCGCAGCGCGCCTGGAATTGGGTGGCTGGGCAAGCAACCGGTCTCGGATCTCGGACTCGTACTCGGGAAGGATGCGAGTTTACCACCATAGGCAACAACGATAGCCATTTTATGTACGATTACAGAGTACATCTTTTACGCCAAATTCCGCGGTGGGTGTCGAATGACGACAACACGGTCGGCATGGACCACCTGATGGGGGGTTATTTAATGAAACCCGACCGTGCAAAGAACAGAAGATGAAGTCGAATTCATCCCCTGTTCTCGGCGGATAAGCGCCATGGCTGGTGCTTGGCTGCTGTCTCCTATTCGACCGACACGCCATCCGCGTGCCCGGTTGGTGAAACCGAGTTTGAAATAATTGCGACCATGACGATGATGTTCGACCGGGTATGGATGGATACTCATACGCAATTGGAGCAACTCGCGATACGAGCATTGCCCAATAGAGTAACTGATCTTGCCATCAGTTCATTCGCCTGCGCCCGCAAGGCTCTGCCTAAAGTGCCCAGCTAGCCCATGCTTACGCGCCGTCGGGCTGAGGTGAACTGCACTGAACTGAACTGAACTGGAGGGCCTAGCCTGGAGCCCATGAGGGTCTGCATACATTCACGAGCTATTGGATATTACTGGTGCTTGGGAAATATTTTTAGGAAACGATTTACGTTATGATTTGTTTATTTGTATACGTTCTTAAGGCGAAAGCATTGAAATGAAACCATTCTCCATTTGTCTATCTTCTCTACCGACACACTTATGCGTGTCCCCTTCTTTCTTCTCCTACCTAGCTGGACTCAACACGAGCCCAGCGGAGTTCTAGTGCATTCAACATCAAAAACAAAATAGTAAAGAGACAGGAAAGGACAGGAGGAATAATGAGGTAAATGATTCACGGATGCCCATGACGCCATGAAGAATGGAAAAATCGAAGGAAAAATGGCCAGAAAAAGATACTGGCCATAGAGTCAATAAACACGAGGACCACCCAGACAAGCAAATGAAATAGATACACACAAAACACTGCGAAAACCTTCTTTTCTGCAGGCTCCCATCATCCCCAAAAGGAAATTCGGGAAGGAGGAAGAGGAGGAGGCAGTGTAAAGTTAAATGGACAGAAGTGGAAAATGCAAAAGGATAGAATATATACGGTGCGGATTAATGAGGAAAATTTTTATGCAATGTAACAAAAATGAACAACTGGCAGGAATCGAATCGGATCGATTTCAAGAATCGTCGACCAGACGCTTCTGTGTCCAGGCACGCTTCGCCCCATCTCAGGAGAACGTCCATATTACCGCTATTCTCGCACATGCTCCGGAACAAACCGCCTTCGCGGTTGATCAGGTCCCAGGGGTGCTCGAATTCGATGACGCGCCCGTGATCGAGGACCAAGACCTTGTCGTAGTCGATAATGGTTTGCAGGCGGTGCGCAATAGTGATGATTGTGCTGCTGTGCAGTTCGCGCAGGGTCTCCTGGATTTTGGCATCGGTGGCGTAGTCGATGGAGGCGGTGGCTTCGTCCATCATTAGGACACGGGGTTGTTTGAGGAGGGCGCGGGCGAGACACAAGAGTTGGCGTTGGCCTTGTGAGAGGTTTGAACCGGATTCTGAAACGAGGCTGTCCAGGTTGTGGAAGACGTTCTTGTTGTCGGTGCTTACGGTAGTCACAGCCGCTGTGCTGCCGTTCATGGCGTTGGCTTCGGTGGCGGTGAATGTACTGGAGGTCATTGGGGTTGCGGTGCCCGAACCATCGGATCCGATCAGGTGCACGCGGCGGATGGCAGTGAAGATCTCCTCGTCGCTAAAGAGGCCGAAGGGGTCGAGGTTACTGCGGATGGTACCGGTGAATAGAGTCGGGTCCTGAGGTACGATGGTGATTGCTTCACGAAGATCCCGAAGACCAATAGAACCAATGTCAACGCCGTCGATCAAGATCTGACCCTTCTCGGATTCCAAGCCACGGAAAAGTGCCAATGCCAGGGAACTCTTGCCAGCACCTGTACGACCAACAATACCGACCTTCTCACCAGGCTTCACGGAGAATGACACCTCCTTGAGCACAGCATCGAGGTCAGGGCGATAGCGGGTGGTATATCCCTTGAACTCAACAGCACCTTCGGTCGGCCAGCCAGTCGTAGGGCGAGATTCGGGGATGACAGGGGCAGCCTCCTGGTCGACGTCGAGATACTCGCGCACGCGCTCAACCGAGTTCATGTTTTGCTGAACCTCAGAGTAGAGGCGGACAAGCCAAAGAACATTTTCGGTGAATGTAACAGCGTAGGTAAGAGACAGACCAGCAGCACCGGCATCGATCTTGCCAACATTGATCAAGACGAATGTAGCCGAGAAGAAGGAAACGAGAGCACCGGTCCAATCCACACGAAGAGCGAGCCAGCGGTTACTAGCCCAGAGGTAGATGTGTGGTCGGTTATAGGCGTTGATGCGGCGGTGGTTGTCAACGATGAAGCGAGGGCCGTCACCATAAGCGCGGATGGTAACGATACCATTGAGGGTCTCGCCGAATTGTTGGTACAAAGGGCTGCGCTGGACAGATTCCAGACGCTTGAGATCCCGGGACGAGTTCAGATAGATGGCGCCAAGAGCGGTGTATACCAGAGTAATGAAAACACCGGCAATCAGGAATCCTGGGTGATGCAAGAAATCAAAATCACGATCATGATTACTGATGCCAGACTGTGTAGCATGCCGATTGCCACTGGTGCGACTTCCTGATCGACTGACTCAACATCCTTAGAGAATCGGTTCATAAGCTGGCCGAGGGGTGTAGAATCAAAGAAGCGGAACTTGGCGTGCATAACAGTCTTGAGGAGACGATCGTGGATCTTCCAAGATGCGTGTAGAGAACCCCAGAATAGAACTGCCTCTCGGCTCAGGGAGATCGCGATATACAGGAAGCCGAGTAGAGCATATACACCAAGGTAGTAAAGAACATCAACCTGGCCGTCGGGTGTGGTACCTGAAGCGCGGGTGTTCAATTGAGGCGGCCCGAAAGTGCTCATTTTCGAAACACTTCCAACATTGAAAGACGGGGGCTTGAGGTGGGCAGCGGCAGCGTACTGTCCCACATCCTCAGAACCGACGTTAGATGTTTGATACGCATTGGCCCACTGGCGAATCCAAATATTGGTCGAGACGGAGCCCAGCTGCTGCAGGCAGAAGACAGTTACGGCAAGAATCCAGTATGGCCACGAGCCCATTGATCCGAGGTACATTGCAACCGTAGACATCTTGATGCTACCAGTGGCCTTGCCTTCTTTCATGTGGGAATCGTCTTTCTTGCCCTTGTCGGCTGTTCCATTGGCGTTTCCGTTCGCACCAGAGTCCGTAGAGTCCTCCTCGTGTTCCGATGGGACACGAGAGAGACCACGCGAGCTTGCTCGAGATCCAGGGCGAGACTTGAAGAATTCCTCACCCAGGGCACCGGTAGCAGCAACAACATCAGGTCGGCCTTGTGAGGAAATCTTTCCGTTTTCAAGTACAACGACGTGATCAGCTTGGGGCACGGCCAGGGCCACGTTGTGAGTAACCAGGATGCATGTGCGGTTGATCATCAATGGACCTGTCAGAGCTTGACGGAAAATGTGCTTGGCAGTGTGAGAGTCAACGGCGGAAAGGCAGTCATCCAACAACAGGTGAGCGGCACTGCTGTAGATGGCTCGAGCCAAAGAGATTCTCTGCTTTTGGCCGCCAGAAAGACTAATGCCCTTCTCGCCGACCAATGTTTGGTCACCAGCATCCAGGATAGTGATGTCACGCTCCAGGGCACAGGCCTTAAGGACGGCACGGTAACGCTTCTCGTCATAAGGAGTTGCAAAAATGATGTTCTCTTTAACGGTATCATTGACCAGCCAAGCTTCCTGGGCGCAATACGCAATGCTATCAATCAGACCGGTCTCGGGATCGACGGGAAGTTCAGAGCGGTTCGACATGCCACCAGGAAGATGGACACGACCTTCGATGAGGCGCATTTCACCAAGCATAGCCATAAGGAGAGAAGTCTTTCCAGAGCCAGTTGGGCCAGCGATGATACTGAGCTTTCCGATGGGGAAATCGACGTCAACATTGATCAGTCGGAATGCATCAGCGTCTGGAGAAGTGGTAGTTTGAGACTTGGGCTTAGTAGTGCCCCAGGTCAAAGTCGCTTTCTCGACTCCAATCTTTGTCGGCCCGTCAGAAGAAGCGCTATCACGCAGTTGATCATATTTGCCGGTCTCCTCCTCGTTCAAGTACTTGTCCACACGGTCCAAAGATACCTTTGATTCCTGGACGTGAGCAACCATATCCGCCAATTGGTCCAAAGGCACACGGAGCAATGAGAACATTGAAAGCGCAGGGAAAGCAATCGAGGGGGTCAATTGTTTCTTCTCAACAACGGTGTATAAGAAGAACGAGAGGAATGTGATCAGGATCGGTGTGCCGTACCAAACAGTCGCGGCGCAGGACCAGAGAATGTAACGGCGACGCAGAGACTTAAGTTCAGCTCTACGCTTCTCATTGACGATATCCTGGAACCGCTGCTCCCACGCAAAGTATTTGATAATGCGAATATTCTGCAGAACCTCGTTGGTAGCATGAATACGAGCATCAGTGCCCTTCAGAATCATGTTTTGAACCTTGTTAAACTGCCGGGCAATAAAAAGATTGACAGGTAGCATCAAAACCATCAGCACAATACCGGCAAATGAGCTGAATCCCATGATCTTGTAAAGCAAAGTGACGGCCATGATGATTTGCACCGGAACACTAGCCCAAAGGAAATGTAAGTATGCGCCAACCTCACTAACTTTGAAGGAATCAATTGCCATCAGGTTAATGATGGTACCGACATTCGCCTGCACTGACGCATCCTCCAGATCGGATTTCGCATTTTCGCCAGATTCAGCATCGTTGCCAGATGCGTTCTTCTTCTTACGACCGAAAGATAGCAGACCCTTCTTTTTCTTGGTTGGAGTCGTGTCCTTGGACCCAGTTGGGTCTTCAACGGCCTTTTTAACAGCATCCATGGAGGCACCTGCTTTACGGCGCAGGGCTTTGGCGTAAATTTCACCAATAATGATCGCGCGAATCTTGACACCCATCTTGCGACCAATGTAGAGAGCTTGTCCATCCGCCACACCCTGAACGATCGCGGAACAAAATAGGAGAGTGGCGTACAGCCAGGCGGCACTGGGAGTGGTCGAGCGAGGATCTTCAACATATTCCAGAATAGCTTTCAGAAGCAGACTCGGCACAAACACGAACAAATTGGCAAACACAGTCCAAGCGCCCTGCTTCAGAATGGTGCCGATGAAGAACCGGATGAGCTTCCATGCCAGAGAGCCCGTCATCTGTCGTTTCCGGAAATCGGTGATGACCGAGGCGGCCTTTTGAGAGGGTGTCAAATTCCAAACATCCTCTAACTCCAATGGCTGTCGGTATCCCTTCAAAACCAACGGATCCAACCATGCAAAAGTAGCCAGAGATAGCAGACTGGCCATGGGGTGACGTGGAGGCTCCAATCCATCCTCGCGCTCCACCACAACTGGTTTATTTCCTCGGCGAGTCGTGAGGGCGATGATGAAAAGTAGAGTGGTGAGGGAGAATTGAATACTGCTGAGAATCAAAGCATTTCGGGAAATCGGGTGAATGATGGCGGAACGGAAGACCATTGTGTTGAAAAGCCATTGGGCACTGTACAGAATAGCCGTATGAGTCCACAGTCGCGGGGCCGAGAAGAGATCCATGGTGGACAGCAATAATCGGACCAAGACCAAAAACAGTATATAACCCCAGGAAACCAGACCCGCAATGGCGGGTACAGCGCCATGGCGACCCCAGCCCTGGGTCGAAAAGATGACTACGTAGAGAGCGAGTTGACCGATTAGTGCAGCGATTTCGAGTGTGACGATGGCGATTTCTCCTCTCGGGCGGTCGACCTCCAGCTGTAAGTGTTCGGTCTCGGTCTGGACGGCCTGGAAGAGCATAGGATCGGACTCGGTTTCGCCGCTGTTGGGGACTTCACCGGCATCATCGTTGACGAGAACTTTGTAGGCGACATCTTTGTGGGAGACGACATAACGGTATGCGAGGCGGACGAGAATGAGGAGCAAGGAAAGACTGCATGCCGCTAGCGGGAGCGAGACTTGCAGAACGCTATCAGATTTTGACGATCAGTACTGCAACGGTCGCCAACGGTCGGAGGGACTCCGGGAATCCCGATCAAGAAAGAGCTGCCTGGTACTCACTTGCGTTGGAAGCATCGCGACAAGTCGTCGATAGCCCACACGGGGCCTTCGCAATGTGATAGCATGGCTTGCGGGATGCAATGCCGGCAATAGAGCAATTGAGCTCACGAGGGAAGCTCCCGGCGCAGACGCGGAGAGGCAATGGACCGTTTTCCTCGCGATGGTAAAGTATACACGATTTTGGAAAGGCTATTAGGGAGAGGAAGAGATGGAGAAGGGGCAAAAAAAGAGCTTCCCTCCCCTAGTGGGTTAACAACGAACTTCCGCGGTGCAGAACAAGGCTGGCATTGCCAAGTCGAACGGAAGCGGAAAGCGGATTTTTTTTTTTTGGAGGGAAGAGTGACGAGGATTAGAAAAGCCCAGGATTTAGCTTGGGAATGATATTGGATAATGAAAATGAAGGCGGGATGGGAGAGGGCGAGAAACTCGGCCTTGGAAGTAAAGAAAAGAGGGGGAGAAGGAAGAAGATGCGATGGAAGCGAAGGGATTGCAGCGCGCACGTTCCTAAAGCGGCGGTGGACGGGTGAGCCCGCACGTTAGACGCAAGTCCGAAGTAGTAGGTACGGTAGTATAGAGTATACTACTATTAGTAGTATACTACTAGTATATACTATACTACACTATACTATTGTTATAGTAATATTGTAACAATGGATTCTCCCGAACCCCTCTCCTCTACGGAGTACTCGAATGCACTTCATGCGCGCATCCCATCGGCGGATGACTCGATGCAGCGATGATCGTTGCTTATCGTGGACTAGGATAGTTCCCCACTGTGTTATCGGCCAGGCACTGGAAATGAGTCCATTGGATGGGGACTTACGTCCCCGGGACTCATGGTCATAGTCATGGTTATGGGAGGGAGACCTAGACCTAGTTCATACATACTAGTCACTCGCCTATTGCCTATGACTCTTAACTACTATGTAGTATACTAGCTGCAACTTGCCGACGACTAATTAGGCGTCGAAATCTCTTCGCCGCCACGAGGTTTCCCTTTTTCTCCCTTGCCACCACCCACTGACTAAACCGTTTTGGTTCCCAATTTAGCGGCCCCCCCCGACATCATCGGCGATCCACCTCCTCTCTCCTTTGTCCCACCTCCAAATACCTTCCCAAACCTCCAAACGCTCGTTCACTCCAGGCTTGTCAGGCTTGTCACCTAGTGTCGCCTCACGACTAATTCATCATGGCTGAGCGCATCCTAATGAACGAGTTTCGCACTCTTTCCAAAGAGAAATGGGTCAATATCGAGGTTGGTTCCACATTCCACCCTGTCCTCCCCATCTCTCAGAGTCCATAGATCAACGGACTAGGCTCTTGGCCACGCGATCAAAAATCAGATCAAGGGACCGACATGGATCTAAACTAACTACCATATCCTCCAGCTTCACAACGAAGATATCTTCAGGTGGGATGTCGCACTGATCGTACTGAACCAAGACTCTCTTTACCACGGCGGCTATCTCAAGGCTTCGATGACCTTCCCACGAAACTACCCATACTCCCCACCAGGTACATATGACCGCACCTCCCACTAAGCTCTTTCGCCATCTGCATCTGGTGTGACAGTGGCGCTAACCAAGCCTGCGTGCGTGTTTTTTTTCCTGCAGAATTTCGTTTTTTGGTACCGCTCTACCACCCAAACATATACCCGGACGGGCGGCTCTGCATCTCCATCCTGCATCCTCCAGGCGAGGACGAAATGTCCGGTGAACTGGCCGCCGAGCGTTGGTCACCTGCCCAACGAGTAGAATCCGTGTTGATCTCTATCCTTTCCCTACTCGACGACGCCGAAGTCTCCTCCCCGCGAATGTCGACGCTGCAGTCATGCTGCGCAAAGACCCGACCAAGTACCACGCTACCGTCAAGGCCAACGTAGACGGATCTCGTAAGCTGGCCCCGCCCGGTTTCACGATGCCTGTGGAGGAAGCTCCATCGCGTGACATGGAAAAAGACGACGACGATTTCTGGATGGATAGCGACGTCGACAGCGATCCTTTTGGTGGCAGTGACTCGGACGATGATATGGATCAGATGAGCGCCAGTGAAGACGACGATGACGATGATGACAGTGAGGATGCTGCCGAAAGCCCTCAGCGGTGAGAGAAGGACTTCTGGTCCTAAAGGGTCTAGTTTGGTCCTGGCCCACACATTCTCAACTTCGGCCTTTTCAGCATGCATAGCACTGGTGGCGTACGCATATCCGGGATGTGGCTTTTTTATCCCCAGCATTGGTTATTTTGTAGGAGTTATTTTCATATTTTTTGCAGCGGATATCGGGCGTTTTAGATTAGGTACTTGCTATGAGGAGGACATCCCATTTTATGTGAATAATGACATACATAGTCATTCTTGCAGCTTGATTGAATCAAGTCAGATAATCAATAGTATCCCATGGCTAGATAATACTATACAACCTCCATGTTAAGACAAGCTTCTCCATAACTGCCCCTCCCAAAGGACCACCCCACAATAGACCCATTTGACCCCCTCATGGTCAGAAACTCCTATATCGGAGCCAGCCCCAACCTCCAACCCCAAACAACCGCCAAGCCACACCAAACCAACCAACCCCCGCATATCCTCTACGGGTTACAACAAAAAAAGGCATTGTGAAAATGGCAACTCAAAAACTCGCCGACTGGTCCACAGCCCTCACCTTCGCCTCACTTCCCAGAGAAGTCATCGATGCCGCCACCCAAAGCTTCTACAACTGGGCCGGGTGCACCGTTGGCGGAAGCACCCACCCCGCAACAACGATAGCACGCACCGCGCTGGCGCGGTTTACAGGCGCACCAACATCCAGACTCCTTGGCTCTGGGGGTGTGGATTTAGATGCAATGCATGCTGCTCTGTTGAATGGTATTGCGTCGCATGTCCATGATTATGACGATACGCATCTGGATACGATCATTCACCCCACCGGCCCAGTCGCTTCGGCTTTGCTGGCTATGGCCGAGTCGCTAGATCGGTCGGTTTCGGGGCACGAATTCATCCTTGCCTTGGTTGTTGGTGTCGAGGCGGAGTGTAAGGTTGGTTTGGCTGTTTGGCCTAATCATTATGATGTTGGATGGTAAGTTTGTACTATCATATCCGGCTATATATAGTTCCAGCTCTGCACCAGAGCACTATTTTTTTTTTCAATTCCCCGAACCCTTTGGAATGCGCGACGATCACGACAGTACATGATTCTAAGAATGTCATAGGCACATTACCAGCTCAACCGGTTCAATCGGCGCCGCAGTAGCCGTCTCAAAGCTGCTCAACCTCTCAGCACAACAGACAGCACACGCCATCGGTCTCGCAGCAACACAAGTAACAGGATTGCGAGAGATGTTCGGCTCGCACACAAAATCCTTCCATCCCGGCCGCGCCGCGCAGAATGGTTTGTTAGCTGCAATTCTCGCATCAGAAGGCTATACCAGCTCGACACAGGCGCTTGAAGCTAAGCGTGGCTGGGCGAATGTGGTTAGTTCCGAGCATCATCTCGACGAGCAGATGGCTACCCTCCCGCCTGATGGACGGTGGGAAATGGCGCGGAACTCTTTCAAGCCATTCCCCTGTGGCATTGTGGTGCATCCTGTTATTGATGGGAGTATCTTCCTTCATGGCCAGTTGGGGCCGAATGGGATTCAGATTGAGGAGATTAGGGAGGTGGAGGTTATTGTTCATCCGTTGGTTCTAGAATTAACAGGGAAGACTGCGCCCAAGGATGGGTTGGAGGCGAAGTTTAGTGTATATCATGGGGCTGCTGTGGGGCTTTTGTTTGGGAAGGTTACGCCGGCGCAGTATGAGGATGCGGTTGTTACTGATGAGCGGGTTATTTGGTTGAGGGATCGGATTAGAGCGACGGTGGATGAGAATTTGCGACCAGATGAGGCGGTGGTAATTATTCGGGTGCCGAATGGTGGGGAAGGGGATGATGATTCTGTTACTGAGATTCATGTTGACCATGCTGTGGGAAGTCGGGAACGGCCCATGTCTGTTGCTCAGTTGACGGACAAATTTGTGGACCAGTGTATTTCAGTATTGGGCCGGGAGCGGACTGAGCAAGCAAGCAAGTGGTGCTGGGAGTTGGAGAAGCAGGTTGATGTGCGTCAGATTAAGACTGTACTCTAGATTTTCCTACATAGCCTCCTACGCACGCTTCAGAGTTACGATGGCTTTCTATGATTGGTTTCAAAGCGGTCCACGGGTTCTAGATTGAGTTTCAATGTATGTAGTTGTGGTCAAGTATACTACGGGTAGCGATGAAAAGAACAATAGCAAAGTGACAGTCTGAGTACGAAAGGTTGGGTGAGAACCCGCTTAGGAGTCGACCGAAAAGAAGAAAGCAGATAAAAACCAGATAAAATGTGATCTGCGCCAGTGGTAAACCAACCATCCAAAATGCCCATTATGAAGGGACCCTGTCTCGGACGGGTCCAATTCGTCTACTCTAAGCAGCAACAGCGCCCTTGATCTCGCTGTAGATGGCACCAGGTTCCTTGTGCATGATCTGCTCAGCGTGGTTGACGAGGTCGTGGACGCGCTCCTCAAAATCCTCGACAGTGGAACCGGCCTTGTAGCCTCCCTGAGCGATGATCTCGGTGTAGTTGGAGTTACCACCGCCGTTCCAGGCGAGGAGCTGTATGCAGTTAGTATTTGATGGCACTTGAAATTGGTTCGAGGCAGGAAACTTACGTTGGGGGTGTCGGAGGGAATGTCGGACAGAGCGCCAGAGGTGGCGACCTCAATGAGAGCATCCTTCAGCTTCTTCGGGGTGATCTTCTCGGCAGCAAAGGCAGAGTCATCGGCGGGCTGGAGGGAGACGTAGTAGGCCAGCAGACCGGCAATGTGGGGGGAGGCCATGGAGGTACCCGAGATGGTGTTGACGGCGTACTTGCTGCCGATCCAGGTAGACAGGATGTTCAGGCCAGGAGCAAAGATGTCAGTGCACTTTCCGAAGTTGGAGAAGTAGGCACGCTCATCAGCGAGAGTGGAAGCACCGACGGTGACGGCCTTCTGAGCAGCAGCGGGGGAGTAGTTGCAAGCATCGGCATTGTCATTGCCAGCAGCGACGGCGAAGTGGATACCAGCATCGACGGCGGCATTGACAGCGAGGTCCAAAGTGCGGGAGCTACCGCCACCGAGACTCATGTTGGCAACGCTACCCTTGAAGCCCTTCTTGCCAGCCTTGGCCTTCTTGATGTGAGCCTCGGCAGCCCACTCAACACCCTTGACGACGTCGGACATAGTGCCGGAGCCGTTGGAGCGGAGGACCTTGACGGCATAGACGTTGGCCTTCTTAGCAACACCGTGCTTCTTACCGGCAATAGTGCCAGAGCAGTGAGTACCGTGACCGTTTCCATCCTCATCAGCATCGCCCTCGGGGATAGTCTTGCCCCAGTTGGCGCGACCTTCAAAGTCAACGTGCGCGGTGTTGGTGCCGGTATCGATGACGTACGCATCGACACCCTCACCACCATCCTCGGCGTACAGGTACTTGTTGAAGCTGCCGAAGGAAAGGCTGTCACGGTGGGAGATACGTGCTAGACCCCAGGGAGCGTTCTTCTCAACAGAGGGTCCCTCAAAGTGGTGGACCTCAGAGTCCTTCTCAATGTACTCGACCTAAGAACGGGAAGGAGGATGAGTCAGTACGGTTCGGAAGCTCGTGATCATTGGGCGGCTGGGGAGCCTCAAAGAGCAACTACTTACATCCGGATGCCGGCGGACCTGCTCAATGACATCTTCGTGGAAATGGCCAGCATAACCCATCAGTGAACCAGCCACATGGAAGGAGTGCTTGACGCCGAGGAAGGCATCAGTGTCGAAGCCAAAGAGACCGCGCTTCTTAAGTTCCATACGCCCGTTGGTGGTGGCGTGGATGTCCTGCACCCAGCTGTGGTGGGCGGCAGCAGCGGAAGTATCGACATGCTTCTTAAACACAACGATGTAGGAGTCTGGGATCTCCTGGGAGTTCATAGAAGAGATGATGGGAGCAGCTCCATTGTGGATAGACTCCACACCCACGGGGGAGGCGGCTGTGAGGAGTGGCAGCAGTGCCAGACCGAGGAAACCCTTCATGATGACTGATGGGCTCGACGATAGGGAGAAAAGAGAGTAAAAGAATAAAGAATACAAACAGAGATGGGTGAGCGATAGTTATAGGAAGAGATGGATGTGGATGATGGGGGAGAGAGAGGAGGTGAAGCCTGGGATGAGGAGATGAGGAGGTCAGGGCCGCCTTATCTAAGGGACCCGGGCGGAGAAGACCACTGGACCCAACGCTTGCATCATCAACCGCAGAATACAATACAATACGCCTCCCGATGACTATCCATTGGCGCCGATCATGAGTGGAGACCGGGGAAGCAGGTATGTTACCAAAATTACAATACTACCGATCCGGGAGAGTCTGCCACTCTTCCAGGTTTTAGCCTAGTCCGTAAGTACAGTACTCCTCCGTACACATCTGGTAAATCTGGTACATCCATTGCGTACGAGTACTCCGCACCTGCAGAAGCCATCTGAATGTCTGTACGGAGTACGGAGTAGCCTGTATCTGGTCTGGTGGCGGTACCGGGGCTGTGCTTATCGACTCTGACTCAATCCTTGGAAGAATCCCATACCTGGAATACAGGATTTCCCAAGGCTGTTAGTAAGACAGGGTCTGTTTGCTCCCCGGGTACCTGGCAGCTCCAAAGCAAGGTCAACCTGTTGCACGGGCTATCTGATACTCTGCGTGACTCTGAACCCCTCATTCTCCGAAGTCGCGTGCTTACACCTTGACGAGAGATCATCGGGTACTGTGACCTCCGGGACTCCACTCAAGCAGCTCTAGCCGCTCTCCCTGTCTCCAAGATCCATTGGATTTGCCCTGTCCACTTATCATCTTATCGTCCGATGAGCGGCGATCCATCCGCCTTGTAACGCCCGTTACGGATACTCTGTGAATCCACGATTAGTGACGTGACAGCTTCTAGGCGGCCCCAAAGTCACCTGATTCCCACAGCCTTTCCCCGCCGCCGCTGCGTGTGTTGATAGTGGACGATCCATTTTTGGGCCCGACCACAAGGCAACTTCAAGTTCGTCACGCCAGTCGGTTCGGATATTCGAAGCACTGTTGCGGATGCTTTGCCCCTCTATTTCCCTGCTCTCCACCAACCGCCAACCCCCTTCGTGGGATAATATCCCCCTAGCTGTCTCATCTGGACCCGCTAGCACAACACATACCAATGCAGACCGCCTCAACCGACACGCCAATCGCGCATTCACGGTCTCTGGTGGTCACCCGCCATCGGTCCGGTCGTGGATAAGATTTGGTGATGGCTCCGCCGCCCCTCCCCCCCTCCATCCCCGTCTGGTTCGACTGAGCGACTCGCCGAAGAGCTAGCTCCCACCCTCGACCAACTGAAGAACCTCGCCGCGAGCAAGGACCTGACCCTCTCGCAGGCCCTCACGGCGACCGAACCTCTCCTTCGTCTTCGCCATACCTTTATCGATGATGCACGCCCTCAAACTGCAAAAGATGCCTTCCGACATCTCCAGGGTTTCCAGGTCCTGCTGGGGCTCGCGGAGCAACTTGCTGAGCTATATGATCCTCAGAGCCTCTCCAAAGAGGACAGAAAGAGCTTGCTTGGAGTCTACAAGGATGTTGTCGGAGTCGTGGCCGAAGGATTGAAGGAACATTTTGGAAACAAAAGATATTTCGCCCGCAGGATTACCGGCGGCGGGACTGCTTGTCTGGAACGGACCCTCGCTGTGCTGGTTGGGAAGATAGGGGATACCGAAGTCGATTCACAGCAATTGTACGGAGCCATCCTGGCCGCCGCATTGTGCCAGGAAGCCGTAGCGGGGATTTTTGCAGCTCTCAACGGCAAAATCCCGCAGCCGCAGGGCACGGATTCGGTATCCCCCAAGGACATCCGGATTGCCGTCGATCAATTCATGGGCTCTGCCGAAACTGTGGAGGTCGCAGAGCTGCTCGGCCCGTTACTCCGCATTTGGGTAACACACTCTGTGACACCTGGAAATAACGGCCTTCGTTTGGCTATCCCCGCATGTCTTTGTCAATTGGCTTCCCAATCTCGCCGGAACGTTGTAGCTTTGCATGCCACCGGGATGCTGACCTCAATCCTCCCGCTCTTGTTCGATGACGGCAGGTCCGACACCGAAAGAGCTCTTTATCAGGATCTGGCTCGGTATCTTAGTGTCCAAGGTATGAGTAGCTTGGACGATGCCGTTGCCCTTTACCGACGTGCGCACGATAGTCCCCAGGTTCTTCAGTTCCTACTCTCCGCGCTCAAACTTTCCAAAGAGCCCCCTTCAATACAGTTCGACCTCTCTCTACATGGGTTCTGCTCTGTAGAGCTCGCAACCTTGGGTCGACCATTCCCACCAAGCACATCGGCTGGCTACACTTTGTCCGCTTGGGTGCGCTTTGACGAGTTCGACTCAAACACTCATACTACAATATTTGGAGCATTTGATGCTAGCCAAACTTGTTTCATCCTAGCTTATCTGGAGAAGGACACACGCAACTTCATTTTGCAAACCGCGATTCGTGGCCCGCGCCCCAGCGTACGCTTCAAGTCTGCCAAGTTCGAGCCAGATCGCTGGTACCATATCTGCCTCATTCATAGACGTCCAAAGCCCACATCCTCGTCCAAAGCATCCCTCTTTATAGATGGCGAATTCTCGGAGCAGTTGAAGATTGATTATCCTTCAGTTCCAACTAGTAATCACCCAAGCCGACCACCACGCATCCAGGCCTTTTTCGGAACCCCCCAGGATCTTGCAATGAGACTTGGTAAAGGGGTTTCCTCGTCTCGCTGGTCACTTGCAAATGGAATTTTGTTCGATGAGGCGTTCAGCGATGACATGGTGGCTGTATTTTACAATCTCGGTCCGCGCTACTATGGTAACTTCCAGGACTGCCTAGGATCTTTCCAGACGTACAAAGCATCTGCCACTCTGAACTTGCGGAATGAACATCTCCATCCCGGCAAAGAGGAGAGCTCAGATATCGTTACTGCTATTCGACGGCGAGCAAGTAACCTTGTTCGCGAGAGCTCAATTCTGATCAATGTTTCCCCTGTGGCTGTTCTTGACGACGATGACAGCAACAACGTGGACAAGTCACAGCTTATCAAATGCTTGTCCAAACAAGCAGCCAAGTCCCTGCAGCAGCTAACCAAGGCCGGAGGTAATGCCGTAGCGGTAAATGGAGCCACTCCTGCGATCAACGACGGCTTGACCCAGCCTCAAGGAGTAGGAATTCTGACAGGCGATCCAGTCGTTGAAGTTCCTCGATCGCTGGATGACGCTAGCTGGTGTTTGGGTGGCTGTGCTCCGGTGCATCTCAGTCTCATCCAAGCTGCTGACACTGCCGAGAATATACGGAATGCTGTGGAAGCACTCTACGAAGCTGTGCGGGATAATTGGCGGAATAGTGAGGCGATGGAGAGGGATAACGGATATGGCATCCTCGCTGTACAACTCCGGGAGAAATTGGGCTATCAGTTTGGCACATCAACCACACCAAACAAGACTTCCCTGATTGCGTCAACCGAAGAACAGAATTCTTTGACCCTTGAGCTCCTCCGACTCACTCTTGCATTTGTTGGCTATGACTTTGACCGTCCCAATCATTCCATCATCACGAATCCTCTCGCCTACAGGATATTGCTTGTCGACATGGATGTCTGGCGATTTGGAGATAAACCTGTCATGGATCTATACTATTCACAATTTCGAACATTTGCTACCGAGAGCAACTACCGTCGATTCAATGCCAAGCGACTCGGCCGCATGCGTAAGCCTCCCTCGAACCAATTCCCCTCATTAATAAGGCCAAAATGATTGTTGACAACAAAGCAGGTGTCAGCAAGAAACTTCTTGAGATTTTGAAGGGGGGGAACTGACACAAGACACTCTTCAACCTTGTCTGTCCGCCTTTCGGTCCTTGGTTGACAGTAGTCCATCCCCTGATCTCCTTCGATCGCTGGCTTTGTCTATTACTTATACCCTCCACAAGCCTAGCCCATCTGCCGCACTGAAGAAAAAGAAGAGTCTTCGGTTTGTGGGAGCTTCATCTCGACCGGGCTCCTCAAAGTCAGACTCGGAGAAGTTCATCGCAAATATTCCCCTGGGAATCGAGATGCTGCGATTGTATTCCAATATTCTCTGCAACCCTCTTGATCCGACGCCTCTGAAGAAGTTCGCCAAGGCGGTCACCAATAAGGTTTGTCGAAGCCTTCTCTTCCATCATCCATCTCACATTAACTAACAAACGCAGTGGCTCTTGTACCTCGCTTGTGAAGATGAGCCCGAAGTCGTTACACTCGCTGTCAAGATTCTCGCGAGGTTACTCATTGTCCATGGAAGCAGCTACAGCAAGAAATTTGCCGACAAGAACGCAGGGTACACGATTCTGGAACATCACCTGAAACGATGGTGGAATATTCCATCTATCTGGATCATCTGCCTGTCTATCCTTTTCGGACAAGATGTTGCTCGTCTGAATCTTGATAAACCTTTCAACGCACCTGCCCTCCTCAACATGTTCCTGGCAGATGGCGAGCTCCGCATTGCATTTCCCGAGATGCTCCCTGTCATCATGGCAATGCTAAAGGGCCGGATCGAAACAAATAATATCTACTGGTGAAGCAGAGACGGCAGAGGATTCACAAGCTCTATTTGTAGAAGCTGCGATCAGTTCAAAGAACCCAAACATGGCGACGTGCAATCTGGCCGATGTATCCCTGCCGGATCGAACAAAATATGGTATTTCCATTCTATCCTCAGTTGTCAAGTTCTTTGCGGAGGCTCGATCGATCTCTAGGAATTTCCAGGAATTCACTACGCAGCCAAATTATCTTCAAGAGCTTCTGTCTATTCTCTATCCTTCGGTTGTTGGTTCAGATCCTGTTGGCCCGACCATTGAAATGAGCGCTCGACACGGCGGAATCGGCTTCGATGACAGCAATCTCGTTCTTCGACCCCGCTCAGGTACCGCAAACGCCTCCACGGCCTTCCAAACGACCACAGTTGACGTTGCGGAAAGTGCCGACGAGAGTACTGATTCGCTTCGCCGTGGATCCTCGTTTGTTCTTATCTCTTCAGAAAGAACTAAGCACCAGCCGTCTTCTGCCCGCATTCGTCGCATTGTCGATCCCAAGTCATCAAATGACAAGGCTGTGGTTGATCATCCACTCACAAAGACTATCTTTAGCCTCGTCCTCCCGATATTTGAGGATCAACTGCTCGAAAAAAAAGATTTTTCGGGATTGGGATTGTATCAAAAAACGCCCCCTGGGTTTATAGAGCAGCAAGCGCATTTCAACTCCTGGGTTTTCAACTCTCTTCTCTCAAGTCTGAAGAAATTACCGACTACAAACCCTCGCCTACTTCAAGAACCTCGTGTTTTGACAAATCTCTCGCGCTTTGCAATCCATCTGGTAGAAGCGGTATATGAGGGATGGTATATCAATGGCCCCGTATCTAGCCTCGAATGTATGGGTACGATTCTGGAATTCCTTCAACGTCCCGATGTGGCAAGCCTCAAGAGTATTCGCCTGTGCAGTCAAGCAGTCGCTACTATCCATTCAGCGCTCTATCGGATCGTCCTGTTCCAGCTTTCAGAGGCGGAAGATGGTGAAGCTTTGTCAGTCCTGAAACGATTGAACTACTGGCAAGTCGTGCTTCTTTCTGCAGCCGATACACAGTCGAAGCATCTTCAATTACTTTTTTACCTGCTGTACACGAAACTGATCAGCAGCGATGAAAACGTTCGCTTGGCTGCAGCAAGCCTTTGGCGGATAATTCTTGTTCAGAAGCCTGAAGAGGTGACAAATCTTCTCGGCAACGCCCCTCATTCCCTGCAGCGCCGACTGGCTGACGGGTTTGATACTCTTGTGGGCATGGAAGATGAAGCCTTTCTTCCATGGATTGATGGTCAAAGAGACGACCTTGATGCTTTGTTCTTCGGGATCTTGTCTCGGTCCTGGGAAACATTCGTCCAGGAAGAGAATGCGAAAAGTGAGGACTCAGGAAAGAATCGCATGTCAAAACGCAAAGAAAAGTTGAAACAATGGGCTCAGCTGGAAAAATTTAATGAGGAGGTCATCAGGAAACATGACGCTACCTTGCCTCATTGGATCTCGAATATCTCTGCATCGGAGTTTTTGAAATCACAAAGGTTTTTGCAAGACTTGCAAGATAACTCTGTTTTCATGTGGTCGGCATTCTCAACTCTTCTGATGGATCTGCGACGACCAGGTGGTCTTCTCGCGGAAGAGAAGGAACGAAAATGGCGACTTGATCAAACTGAAGGTCGCAGCCGTATGCGATTACGAGTCGTCCCAGACGAATCTGGTGACCGACAGGATTACCAGCCGAAACGAAAGGCTTCCGAGCCACCTATGCCTAAGCTCGATACTCGCGTTCGTGCACTATCTGCAGGGGAAGTAGCTGCTACGCCTACCGTTATGACAGCAGAGCCCGAGGGTCTTGACTCTGAGCCTCAATATGGCGAAGCTGATAATGCCACCAACGCGGAAGATCCAAGTATGCTTGAAGAAAACTTCGAGATGATTGATGACCCCAAGAATGAACTCGAGGACTACGATGACAAAAATCGCAAAGTGATGCGGTCTCTTCACCGCGGCGACCAGGTCCAGAATGTGTGTAACATGTCACGGATCATTGGTCTCGAGGCCGTTGAAGGCCTTTTGATTCTCGGAAAGGACTGCATCTACATTCTAGACAACTTCTTTCAAAGGGCTGATGGAGAAATTGTCAACGTCTGGCAAGCCCCTGTAGAGGAACGCGACTCTTATGTGCGAATGATTTCTGGACGAGAATCCAACGACCGCCGCTCTCAAGAGCACGAAACTAGGAGCTGGAAGTGGTCTGACCTAGTCAGCGTCTCCAAACGTCGCTTCCTCTTCCGCGACGTTGCCCTAGAAATATTCTTCACAGATGGTACTAGCTACCTTCTAACGCTCTTTTCTCCGCGCGTCAGAGATGACTTGTGCAATCAGCTTGGATCTAAAGCACCGCAGGTTACTGGAAGTGCTGGCCACTCGCGACCGGAAGATATCTGGAGGTTCGAAACCCTGCGAAGCCAAGAGGATGCGCCACAATCCATCGGTTCCAAGTTCGCAAGCGTCTTTGGCCATCTCCCATCGAACCCTGCAACGCGAAAATGGGTCAAGGGCGAAATATCCAATTTCCACTACCTGATGTTGATCAATACCCTTGCTGGACGAACATTCAACGACTTGACCCAGTATCCAGTTTTCCCGTGGGTCTTAGCAGACTATACAAGCGAAGAGCTCGATCTCACCAACCCCAAAACATTTCGTGACCTCTCCCGCCCTATGGGCTGTCAGAATCCCGACCGTGAGGCAGGTTTCAAGGAACGTTACAATGCTTTTGCGGAGATGGGTGATGATAACTCCCCGCCTTTCCATTATGGAACCCATTATTCCTCCGCCATGATCGTCAGCTCGTATCTCATTCGCCTTCAGCCGTTTGTCAAGTCATACCTTCTCCTCCAGGGCGGAACATTCGATCATGCAGATCGACTATTCTACTCAGTTCGAAAGGCATGGGAGTCCGCAACGCGGGGTAACATGTCTGATGTACGAGAATTGATTCCAGAGTTCTTTTACCTACCAGAGTTCCTAGTGAATTCCAATAAGTATGACTTTGGTGTTCTACAGAACATGACCACGGCCATTGATTCGGTTGAGCTTCCTCCCTGGGCAAAAGGAGATCCGAAGATCTTCATTGAGAAGCATCGCGAGGCACTAGAGAGCCCATACGTTTCAGAAAACCTCCATCATTGGATTGACCTCGTGTTCGGTAGCAAACAGAAGGGCGAAGCCGCGGTTGAAGCCGTTAATGTCTTTCATCATCTGTCTTACAAGGGTGCGAAGGACTTGGATGCAATCGATGACCCTATGGAGCGATTGGCTACTATTGGAATTATCCATAATTTCGGACAAACTCCTCATCAAATTTTCCAACGTCCACATGCTCAGCGGGAAGATCAACGGCACCGTGTTCCCCGGCTCGATACCCTCGCGGAATCCCTAACACAAACGCCGCTCGCATTGCTAGGTAAGAGCTTCTATTCTTAATTGCAGATCCCCGGTTACTAATATACCTTTCTCTTTATAGATACAGAAGAGCGCGTGGCGAATCTTTCCATGAGACAGGACCGCCTTCTTTGTACAGCTTCTCTTCGCTTGAATGTCCCGCCAAACTACGATCACTATATGGAATGGGGATTTTTCGATGGCAGTGTCCGTTTTTACTCCGCGGATAGCCGTAAAGTAAGTGTTTGCATTTGAAAGCCGAGCACAGGTCCATTTTGTTAATGCCATATAGCTTCTCGGACACTTCGAGCATCTGCATATCGGCCAGCTTTCCTATGCCAGTTTCGCAGACTCCCGAACACTCATCACATGTGGAACGGACTGTACAGTTTCTCTGTGGACAATCACTGCGACCTCCAAGTCAGTTGATCTACAACCTCTCGGCTCGCTCTTCGGCCACCGCGCACCCGCCACCGTGCTTGCCGTTTCGCGTTCTTTCAGCACTTTACTATCCGCATCCAGCGACGGACATATCATGCTATGGGATCTTAACCGACGAGGTTTCGTACGAATGTTGCCTGCCGAAGGAACGGTTGATGTGAGTGATTCTTCAATATTTCGTACGCTGTTCGCGCGTGTCTAATCATATCTATAGTGTGCTCGTATAAACGACGTGACGGGTAACATTGTTATCTGTCGGGGCCATCGTCTCACCATGTACACTCTGAATGGTGAAGTCCTAGTCGACCAACCGGTCTGCGATTCGGTCGACGATCGTGTGTTATCCTGCGTCTTTTACGAGGGCGTCCAAAACGAATGGCTCGAGCGTGAGCTTGTCCTGACCGGCCACAGTCGCGGCGTTGTGAACATCTGGAGCAAGATGATTCGAAATGGACGATTTGAGCTGGAACTCATCCGTCAACTGCATCATACAGACAGCAGTCGCGACACCGGGGCCAATATCTCGACGGGAATCAGTTGTATTTTTGCCCTTCCCCACGTGGTCTATACCGGGGATGAAGCGGGCCGTGTGGTGAGTTACTTTAACTTTCCTGTTTTTCCGTGGCTAGACCACATCTTATGGGAGATCCCCAGACTAATCGGTTTATTTTCCGTAGTATGAGTGGAATTGCATAACGAGGCGCTAAGCCTTGCCGTTTTGGACCAACCGTTGGTTGCCGTGCGGCTACTGACTTACACGCCTCATTCTCCGCCTTTTTCTGTTCTGTGTTGTCCTTGTCTGGGCTCATTGCAAAAGCAGCTGCTATTTTTGGCAGCTCGGCGCTTTTCCTTTCTCTTCTGGGATGATCTTATTCGCCTTTGCCCTCTTGTATTTGTTTGTTTGTATCACCTCTTTACACTTTTGTTCGTTTCCAACCACGCACATACTACATAGCATGCAAAGCGGAATGGCCACAGCATCATCATGGACACACGGATCCCCCAGCCTCAAACGCCGTCCGGAGTAAATCGCGACATTTAACCGGGTCTCTCGGTGAGTGAGATGCAGGACCACTGCAGTAGTGGGCCGTTGGCCGGTCGACCATACTCCGGTTGGGGTGCCGGAGCACACTGCGCCGGATTGGTCAACCTGGGGGTTGTCTACTCGTATAGTGTACAGTAAGTGTAGTAAGGAAATTGAGATTGAAATCATCATGATGAAAATAATAGTAGTGGAAGATACAAACCGGTCGAGAAGGACAAGGACAAAGAAGGAAGTGATGTATAAAATCTTGAAGGCGCGTGAACCGGACACGGGAACGTCAAGAAAGGCGCTTCGGAGGGGCATTGTTGGTGGAGGGAGAACTGGAGAATGATTTCATCGCGCAGCGTCATTTTTTGCCCCACTCCCAAGGTTTGTCCCGCATTAAGGAGGTACTTGTCTTTTATATGGCACTCCCATACTACACCGAAGTACCGCTTAGGTTCCCGGCTCCCTCTGCTCCAGGGTGCCCATGGTTGCCCCTCCCTAAATACCTCCTCATCGCCACTTCTCTTCCTCCTTCATCTCTTCTTTCTGCATCCAATCTTGCAATCTTCCTCCTTGCATAATATACCCTTCCTATCTCAAAAACTATCATGTCTTCTTCTCTCGAGCAGCTCAAGGCCAGCGGCACCGTTGTCGTCTGTGACTCTGGTAAGTCCCGTCCCACCGATCATCCATGATGCATGCATTGAACAACACCCCACTAACACGCGATTCCTAGGTGACTTTGCCAGTATGTGATGACCCCAGCTTCCGACTTGCCGCATTGTCCGGCATCATTGGATCCTAAAGCTAACGTGTGACAGCCATCGGCAAGTACAAGCCCCAGGATGCCACCACCAACCCCTCCCTGATCCTGGCTGCTTCCAAGAAGCCCGAGTACGCCGCTCTGATCGATGCTGCTGTTGCCTACGGTAAGACCAAGGGCAAGACCGTCGACGAGCAGGTTGACGCCACCCTGGACCGTCTCCTGGTTGAGTTCGGTACCAAGATCCTGGAGATCATTCCCGGCAAGGTCTCGACTGAGGTCGACGCTAAGCTGTCCTTCGACACCGAGGCCTCCGTCAACAAGGCCCTTGAGATCATCAAGGTATGTTCCTGAGAAATTCCAGCGAGCGCCAGACAACAGATCATTAACAAGGTCGCAATTCTAGCTGTACGAGGAGTCCGGTATCTCCAAGGACCGCATCCTGATCAAGATCGCCTCCACCTGGGAGGGTATCAAGGCTGCTCACATCCTGCAGTCCAAGTACAAGATCAACTGCAACCTGACCCTGATGTTCTCCCTGGTCCAGGCCATCGCCGCCGCCGAGGCCGGTGCCTTCCTGATCTCCCCCTTCGTCGGCCGTATCCTCGACTGGTACAAGGCCGCTCACAAGCGCGACTACACTGCCGAGGAGGACCCCGGTGTCAAGTCCGTCCAGGACATCTTCAACTACTACAAGAAGCACGGCTACAACACCATTGTCATGGGTGCCTCTTTCCGCAACACCGGCGAGATCACCGAGCTCGCTGGCTGCGACTACCTGACCATCTCCCCCAACCTGTTGGAGGACCTCTACAACAGCAACGCTGCCGTCCCCAAGAAGCTCGACGCTTCCGATGCCGCCAAGCTCAACATCCCCAAGCGCGCCTACCTCGAGAACGAGGCTGCTTTCCGCTTCGACTTCAACGAGGAGGCCATGGGTGTTGAGAAGCTCCGTGAGGGTATCTCCAAGTTCGCCGCCGATGCGGTTACCCTCAAGGACCTGCTCAAGGCCAAGATCCAGGCCTAGGTGCGTGTGGTTTAATTTTCGTCTGTGATTTCTTTTTTTAAAACCTTATGTTATTTGTAAATTGGCGATCCCCAAAATGTCGGAATCGGTAGATACGAATTGATGAATCTTTTACTTTCAACTTTGACCTTGGGGTAATTTCAACCGTAGAGAGTAGTAGTATGTAGTAACTACTGTACTAACTAGTAGTACTAGGAATAGTAACCATTTTAAGATTGGATAGAATTAGCCATTGCGGATACTCGTATCTACCCAACCTTGTAGATCTCCGGTGGTCGGGTGGTCTGAAGGCCGACGCTTCCGAGGTCAAATACCGTGCGGAATCTAGGCTAGTCGGCTTATTCATGCCATGAGCAACCCCGCAGGGCTCGGTGTGACTCTGTATCACACCCCTGAGGTCAATTTGGATGATAGATGGTTTCGATCAAGTGTAATTGGAAGTAAAAAGAGCTAAGATTGAATTGATTCTGAATTTCAACACTTAATATACTCAGTAGAGGTGGATGGCGAGGTTCACCGCAGCATTATGTCATTTTCCCTCGTTCCGAAAGCTGCCCGCTTAGGAAGGTGGGGGGTAATTTGAGAGAGGAAGAGTTTGTACCTGGTACCTAAATTTACTGCAAATTTCTGTAGTCAATCAAAGTACTCGAGACAAGGCAAATTCCCCTAGTCGTGCAGTCACGTCAACATCATCCGCTTATTATTCTCGTCTCCGCCCACTTCTCCTCCTTTCGCTTTTCCTCAAGACTCATACCAATTCTTTTATATTCAACCCCCTATATCTTTTTTAACCGTCAATATGGTCAAGGCTGGTAAGCTTATCCTGTCAAGCTCCTTTCCGATCTCATATCCCCCCAGGGCCAATGAACTGGTCCCAAGTCCTCAAGGCTCCACGCCCCAGGGACCTTGGGTGAGCAGATTTGAGCACCTTGTGATCATCCTGCTGCTATTGCTGAGCCTATCGGCTTGCTTCCTCTCTCCACTGTCTGGTTTCAGATGCGTGAGCTGTACTGCCGGGGTACTCGCGATCTGAGCTTAAGCTATTACTGAACTCACGAACCCGGCGGCACCAGGCACCAGACAGTGGGGGAGCGGGAGACGGGCCGATGCAAGCATACCTAAATCTTGAAAGAACCTCCCCCCCGCTAACCATGATCTCGTTCAGTTGCTGTCCTCCGCGGAGACGCGAAGATCGCTGGTACTGTCACCTTCGAGCAGGCCGATGAGTCCGCTCCTACCACCATCTCCTGGAACATCACTGGCAACGACGCCAACGCTGAGCGTGGTTTCCACGTTCACCAGTTCGGTGACAACACCAACGGCTGCACCTCCGCCGGCCCTCACTGTATGTAGCCTTTGTGCATTCTATATCCTCGAAGATATAGCTGACCCCCCCCTTGCAGTCAACCCTCACGGCAAGACCCACGGTGCTCCTACCGATTCCGACCGTCACGTCGGTGACCTGGGCAACTTCAAGACCGATGCTGAGGGCAACGCCACCGGCAGCGTGCAGGACAAGCTTGTCAAGCTGATCGGTGCCGAGAGCGTTCTGGGCGTAAGTTAAAAAAGACCCGGAGTGGTCCTCCCAATGTAGAGAAATGAAGTGAAGTGAACTAATAGGACACTTTAGCGTACCCTGGTCGTCCACGCCGGCACTGATGACCTCGGCCGTGGTGGCAACGAGGAGTCCAAGAAGACTGGTAACGCTGGTCTCCGCCCTGCTTGCGGTAAGTCAATGTTTATTTTCTTGTATATTTTTTCTTCATATACTGACTCGTTGCAGGTGTCATTGGTATCTCCGCTTAAATTCGGAGTAATCTTTGATAATCCCACATAGTTGGACTATGATGATATTCCCCATCTATTGAGATGAAAAGTACAGGATAGTTTAACCTGGCTAGGATGCAATGAATTTCATTTCAAACGAGTTGTCTTTCCCCCTTTTCCCTTTTCTAGTGCCTCTAGAGTGTAGGAGTAGTTCAAGTTGCGTGCTGGGCTAGCCCGTAGTGCCCAGACCGCTTTCCCCCACAAACACCGTGGCCACGTTTCCTCCGAAGCTCTCCCGCGCGATCATTCCATTCCAGTCCTTTCTAGTTTCCCTTTCTCCCTTTGGTTTCTTCCCCTGATTTTCTTCAATCGGTTTTAAATCAGCTACCTTTGTGTGTGGTAGCGGTGTTTCCCTTCAAAATGCCTTTCGAAGCCCGCGTCAAGTCCGTCCTGTCCGGTGACACGGTCGTGCTGTCGCATATCTCTAATCCCTCACAAGAACGTATCCTGAGCCTGGCATATGTCTCTGCGCCACGCCTGAGGAGAGAAGGTGACGAGGTTAGTATCTCTTCACCCCAATTGTTGGTCCACTGGAGCGCTTAGATCACGAGGCGGTCTTTTGAACCCCCCTGGTCAATTCGAAACGTCCTATGTGAGAGCTTCAATTCAACTGAACTAACAACATTCACTTTAGCCCTTCGGATACCAGTCGCGCGACTTCCTCCGTGAGATCCTTGTCGGCAAGGTTGTTCGTTTCGATGTCGTCTACACCATCCCCACCGGCGCCAAGCGGGAGTACGGTGTCATCACCCTGCCCGGTTCTAACGCCAAGCTCCCCGATATCAGTGTTCAAGAGGGATGGTCTCGTGTCCGCGAGGAAGCTGGCAAGCGAGGAGATGAGTCGGAGGCTACTCAAGGACTACTTGATCGTCTGCGTGGGCTGGAGTCTCTCGCCCAGGATGAGAAGAAGGGTATTTGGTCCGGTTCCGCCGAGGGTCTCATCGAGACTAGCTACGAATTGTCCCACGGGCAAGCTCTTGTGGATGAACATAAGGGAGAACAATTGGAAGGTATCATTGAGAAGGTCTTGAACGGAGACCGTGTCGTCTTGCGTCTCTTGGTTTCGTCTCAGGAGCACGTGCAGTCTGTCGTGGCTGTCGCTGGTATCCGAGCTCCAGCTGCCAAGCGGACTACTGCCGATGGTAAAGAGCAGGCTGCCGAGCCCTTTGGCGACGAGGCACAGCAATTCTTCGAGTCACGCCTGTTGCAGCGTAAGGTCAAGGCTTCTCTGCTCGGCGTGACCCCTCAAGGCCAGCTGATCGCTACCCTCCTCCACCCCAACGGAAACATTGCCCAATTCCTTCTTGAGGAGGGTCTTGCCCGCTGCCAGGATCACCACGTCACCCTCCTTGGCCAGGACATGGCTGCCCTCCGCCAGGCCGAGCGTTCGGCCAAGGATGCTCGCAAGGGTATCTTCACCGGGCACGTTGGACCCAAGACCTCTGGTGCCGCTGCCGTGGACTATGTTGTCACCCGTGTCCTGAACGCCGACACTCTATTCCTCCGCAATAAGGCTGGTCAGGAGAAGAAGATCAGTATCACCAGTATTCGTCAGCCCAAGCCCTCCGACCCTAAGCAGGCCCCATTCGCTGCCGAGGCCAAGGAGTACTTGCGCAAGCGTGTTATTGCTAAGCACGTCATGGTCACTGTGAATGGCAAGAAGCCCGCCAACGAGGGCTACGAGGAGCGCGAGGTTGCTACTGTCGTCCAGGGCAACACCAACGTTGGATTGGCTCTGGTTGAGGCTGGATACGCCTCAGTCATTCGCCACCGCATGGATGACGATGACCGCTCCCCCGACTATGATTCTCTCCTGGCAGCTGAGGCTGATGCTCAGAAGGAGGCCCGCGGTATGTGGTCTCCTAAGCCGCCCAAGGCGAAGCAGCTGGTGGACTACTCAGAGAACGTCCAGAAGGCCAAGCTCGAGGTCGGCGTTCTGCAACGCTCAAAGCGCATTCCCGCTGTTGTCGACTTCGTCAAGTCTGGCTCTCGCTTCACCGTTCTGGTGCCCCGCGAGAATGCCAAGTTGACTCTGGTCCTTTCGGGCATTCGTGCTCCCCGATCTGCCCGCGGGCCGGGCGATGCTGGTGAGCCTTTTGGACAGGAGGCTCACGATCTGGCTAACCGCCGCTGCATGCAGCGTGATGTCGAGATTGATGTCGAGACTATTGATAAGGTCGGTGGTTTCATTGGTTCCCTGTATGTTGGCAAGGAGAACTTCACCAAGATTCTGCTGGAGGAGGGATTCGCAACCGTGCACGCCTACTCGGCTGAGCAGTCTGGTCACGCCAACGAGTACTTTGCCGCTGAGGAGCGGGCCAAGGAGGCCCGCAAGGGTCTGTGGCACGACTGGGACCCTTCCAAAGAGGCTGCTGCGGCCGCTGAGGAATCCGAGGCCGCCAACGGCACTGGTAATGAGAGCGAGGCCGCCCTTAGCCAGCGCCGCAAGGACTACCGGGATGTCATGGTCACATTCGTTGACCCTACCAATGGACGTCTCAAGCTCCAACAGATTGGTGCTGGCACCAGCGCTCTGACTGAGCTTATGTCCGCCTTCCGTTCTTTCCACATCAACAAGGCCAACGACACTCCTCTTCCTGGACCTCCCAAGGCCGGCGACTGGGTCGCTGCCCAGTTCTCTGAGGATGGCGATTGGTATCGGGCCAAGGTTCGCCGCAACGACCGCGAGAAGCAGGAGGCTGAGGTTGTCTACGTCGACTTCGGCAACTCCGAGAGCCTGCCTTGGTCTAGCTTGCGCCCTCTTACCCAGCCTCAGTTCTCGAACCAGAAGCTCCGCCCACAGGCCGTTGATGCCGTGCTCTCTCTTGCTCAGTTTCCCACCTCCTCTGACTACCTCGAGGACGCTGTTGCCTTTGTGGGCGACCAAACCTTTGACCGCCAGCTTGTGGCTAATGTCGACAATGTCGAGTCCGACGGTACTCTTCACGTCACTCTTCTTGACCCGGCTGTTTCGAAGAGCCTCGACCAGAGCATCAACGCTGACATCATCCATGAGGGTATGGCTATGGTGCCTCGCAAGCTGAAGGCTTGGGAGCGTGCCTCCGCCGAGACCTTGGACAACCTGCGTGAACTTGAAGCAGAGGCCAAGGCCGAGCGCCGTGGTATGTGGGAATACGGTGATTTGACTGAGGATTAAATGTTGTATCTATGAGCGAAATGTGTGCGTTCTGTACAAAAGCGTGGGATCCGGTTCCCCTTGGGGAAATACATGTGCAATACAATATCCATGGTTTTGTACCAGCTTTATTTTGATGTTTTCTTTTACCTTCCTCCTTTTTTTTTAATCAAATCTACTTGGCTTAATAAACTTGAAATGAATGACCCGAAGTCTACAAATTACCTAGGATCAGGGTTTGTGTCGATCGTTCCCAGGGATTGTAGGGACCGATTAACTTTGGCCCAGATCTTCGCCCTTGCAATTGAAAGTATATCAACCTTTTCAAGTTATTTATTTATTTATAGAGGCAACCGGGTATTGCTAAGATAGTATCTGCCAGCGAACTTCAATCAGCATAAATGATAATATGACTACTAGTATAAAACATTCAAAATTACTCCAGGGCTACTATTCACTAACCCCGACTCTCGGCATATGCCACCATCGGACTCCGAAACCCTGAACTTTGAAGGGTCCACAGGGCGGCAACCCCAACTCCACCAAATTTATTCCCTTACCGCCTCTTCTTACTTAGGCGCTTCCCCTCCGATCCCCGATCTTCAACTGAAACCACTGGGGCCGATCGCCACGAACTCCAAAAAGTTCCAGGAATACATACTACAAGATGTTCTGGCGGACCAAGTCCCACGACAGCCACGCGTCTCAGGACCCGGCCCTCGCGCGCACCGCGTCGGCTTCGAAGAATGATCCCGCCGCCTCCGCAGACCAGGCCTCCGGAACCGCATGGCTTGCCGGACACTTGAACCATTTGACTCCGGAGCAGGAGGAGAAGCTGCGTGAGTTCAAGAGCGTCTGCTCAGAGCGCGGATATTACACCGAGGCCGTGGAAGAGGGCGAGGGCGTTGAGGCTAAAGAGCCTAGCCATGATGATGCGACTATGCTGTAGGTTGCACTACTTGATGCTGTACCTCCGAACCAAGGCACGGGGCAAATAGAACTGACGATGTTTATTTTATTCAAAAAAATAGGCGATTCCTGCGCGCTCGCAAGTTCGAGGTCGAGGGGCGTGGGGTCAATTCAAGGATACCGAGGATTGGCGAAAGGATAATGCCATCGAGTCGCTATATGCGAATATCGGCGTGGACTCGTACGAGGCTGCGCGTCGGATGGTATGCGCTTTCACGCAATCATCTTCTATCTTGCTTGCTTTTTTCCTACAAGAGGGCTGGACTAATTCTGATTACGCTTTTCTGTAGTATCCCCAATGGACTGGTCGTCGTGATCGCCGCGGAATCCCCGTCTACGTCTTTGAAATCCGCCACCTCGATAACAAGGAGATGGCAGCTTATAATAATACCATGTCTACCGGTACCCCGGAGACTCACAAGTCGTCGACCATTCCGGCGCGCCTGCTGAACCTGTTCGCTCTCTACGAGAATCTGCTTAACTTCGTCATGCCTCTGTGCTCTGCGCTTCCGCGTCCTAATCCCGAAACTCCGATCGTGACATCGACTAATATCGTCGATGTGAGTGGTGTCGGACTCAAGCAGTTCTGGAACTTGAAGAGCCATATGCAGGATGCTAGTGTACTGGCCACTGCTCACTACCCCGAAACTCTGGACCGTATCTTCGTGAGTTATCCTTATACTACCTCCATCATGCATTAAGGCGGACTTTTCCCGCTAACTATTTCCAGATCATTGGCGCACCTGCTTTCTTCCCTACTGTCTGGGGCTGGATCAAGCGCTGGTTCGACCCGGTCACCACATCCAAGATCTTCATTCTGTCCGCGGCCGAAGTAAAGCCCACTCTCACTTCTTTCATGGAACCCTCCAGCATCCCCAAGCAGTATGGTGGCGAACTGGAGTGGCAATGGGGCGAAATGCCTCACCTGGACGAACCCGCCCAAGAGCTGCTGAAGGGCTTGGAGCAAGAGCCCGCCGAGGGCCAGACGAGGAAGGGGCTTCTGAAGGGCCCTGTTCTATTCAAGGGCGATGTGGTTGAAGTGCTGGGCACTGAGGATGGCAAGGACCGTCGGGCCACTATTCCGGTCCCTCAGTCCGAGCTGAAGTTCAACGGCCAGACCGAGACTGAGACAGAAAAGGAGTCCTCGACTGAGACTGCAAACGGAGACGCAGAGTCGAATGCTGCTCCTGCTGCTGAAAATGAGAAACCCATTGAAAACGTGGCTGTGAATGTCAGCGAGGAGGCCCGGACGACGAATGTCGCTGTCTAGTAGGATCTTCTCAGAATCCACGCCGAGTCGGGATTGTGGGAAAGTGAGAGGTCGTGACTTGCATGACGATTCAGATACAGATTCAGATTCAGATTCGAATCCAGTTTCACATGACCGAGGCATGACTCACACTCACCGATCTTCTTCTTCACCGCGGGGATTAGTATCTTGTTAATCATGCATGGCCCAAAACACGTCTGCCTGGGTCCAAGAATTTTTTGATTATGCGATAACTGAGAATTGCATGTGCATCGTGTGTTTGACATAGAGAGGGCCCGCATTTGTTTTTTCTTGTTTTTCTTTCTTCTCCCCAACAGTCTTCTTTCCCTGTTGATCTTTGGTTGTCGGGTTTGCTACTCCCGGTAGCCTATGGTGAGCGGGTCTGGGCCTGAGCCTGGCTAATTGTGACCTTCACACAGTCATGTCTAGTTCCGGATCTGTTTACCTTTTTATTATCTTTCTCCCAGTCACCATGAGCATGAGATATGGCCTGGGCTGGAGTGTCTGCTTCAATTGAGTGGACTGTTTATGACTTATTCCCCTGTGTTTCTGTCTACTAGTGCTTTGTTCCAGGGGCTATCTGGTAAATAGAATATATAGTATCAATTTCGGTTTTTTCCAGGTTCTGGTGGCTCTTCTCTGTCCAGCTGTGTCCTAGTACAGAGGTCTAAGTTGTCGATATTCTAACTACTACTACTAGGTGCTAGTCAAGTACTGTGGACTGCCCGGGCCTTGGAAATTGCTGAGAATGCCGATAGACGGTATTTTAGCCCGACTGGAAGTATATTCCAAGGTTCGTATCCTAGTACTAGTCTACTAGTAGTAGCCTGAGGTACATCTATATAAGCCAATACTAAAAAAAGTATATGACAACGACACGAGATCTATTGCTTCGAATATTACAAAAGGACTGGGCTCAAGGTCAATTGATACTAGATATACCAACATCATACTACTATGTACTCGTACCCGTGGCAAACGCAGCCGCGTTAGTTGGGCTAGTCCGAATGTGGATCCACTAGACCGGATATGGAAACAATTTGCCGGTCGACCAGTAAGTGTCGACTGCTATGAGCATTGACCTGCTGGTGATATGTATAGCTTGTGCTGAAACAAGACTGAGGACGAGAGAGTGTGCTCTGTATGGAGTACTGAAATTGAATCAAACAAGTGAGCATGTTGTGTAGCATCATGTTCGACAGGGGGTGCAGTAAGTAAGCCATACTAGTATGTACATCGTAGACTCGTAGTTCGTAACTGAATAGGCTCTTCCCCAACATTTTCGGCCATCACATGGATGAACTCGATCTAATCAGATTGTGTCACTTTACCCTGAGTGCCGAGTACGTATTTGCGTATTTGCAAATACGCCAATCGCCGATTATTGAGTACGAGCATTGAGATTGTGTGACCTACAAACGTGGTGGACCTGCAGATCAGGTGACTGTCAGGGGCACATGTTTGCACAAGCCCTGGCAGGCACCGACATCAACATCGACAATTTTGGGTATGCAGCACGTCGTCTACTTGTATTATCAGGGCTAGACAGGGCCATTGCGATTTTCGACCAATGCCGAGCCAGTGAGGGCGATCATGGACTGTGGGGTTTATTCATCGTGCCATCATGCCCACCATCCTGCCGTCCACAGCCGTTAGACTCGCCCGGGGTCGCCCGATCGACGAGGGGGAACAAAGTAGATGGGGGGTCCATCACTAGGTCGCGGGCGCTAATAGCGTTTGGGATTGTTGGGACCAGGATAAGGGATCGACGTCATGTTCAGCCATGTTCGCATGCTGCAGAGGAGACCCCGAGGCTCATTTTTGTGGAGTGTGGATACTATTCACATGCACCGCACCGCGCCGAACAACTGGGGCGAAAGGTGGATCGACAAAAGCCAAACGTCCCCTTTAAAACCCCCACGCCACCCCCGGACTCGGGGGCTTTGAAGGCAAGTCGAAAATTTACATCTCCAGCTCTTCATTCGACAATCTACGTCGCTCTCTGCTCGCCATGAGTGTTCAGCGCAATCCCAAGGACTCGATGAAGTCCACCTGGCGGCATCAGGCCCGCTCGGAATGGACTCTCTTCCACTGGTTCTACGAATTGCTCGGTATTCACCCAGAGCACCTCGATTCAAACGTACCAGTCCATCTGAAAGAGGACGCCGTGCCCTACGTCCCAGATTGGTCTATGCACCGCTGGGTTCTCACGCATGCTGCTATTCCGCTCCTCATCCACCACGCCTACGTCCAGTACACCGGTCAAAATTTCGGCATGCTAGGCGCTTTCATTCTTTATAGTTTCGCGTTCAAGGGTATCGCCATCCACGAACTCCACGTCCTCCGTCGACTGGGCCATATACACGGCTTCCTCGACGGTGACAAGCACGCCCGTGACGGCGTCCCCGATATTGGCGTCGCCAAGGTCGTCCGCTCATTGATGTCCACTTCGACTTTCCGGCCTATGTTCACAGTCATGCTTGCCTACAGCGTCGCTCTGCCTCCGTCAACGATGAACTTCTTCTGGTTGCCCATCGAGGCCGGTCTCTACGGCATCATTCTCGATTTCTGGTTCTATTGGTACCACCGTCTGATGCACGACGTCGGCAGCCTCTGGCAGTACCACCGCACCCACCACCTGACCAAGCACCCGAACCCCCTTCTGACTCTGTATGCCGACCTGGAGCAGGAGTTCTTCGATATCGCCGGTATCCCGCTGATGACCTTCTTCACTATGCGATTCATGGGGATGCCGATGGGTTTCTACGAGTGGTGGATCTGCCACCAGTACGTCGTGTTCGCCGAACTCGCTGGCCACAGTGGTCTACGTGTCCACGCTACTCCTCCTTCGACCTTCAGCTTCGTACTTCGGTGGTTCGATGCTGAGCTCGTTATCGAGGACCACGATTTACACCACCGCAAGGGCTGGAAGCAGAGCTACAACTACGGCAAGCAAACTCGTCTCTGGGACCGTATTTTTGGTACCTGCTGTGATCGGATTGAGTCTGTGCCGAATAATGTTGACTACGTCAATCAATCGCCGATGCCACTATACTAGTTGGGTGTGATGAATGTTTATATTCACCTTCTTCCTCTCGCTTTCCTTGTACATGACTTCGTTCAAATGCGATTGGAGCGGCATCTGTGTTTATTTTCTTCTTTCTTTCTTTCTTTTTTAATCTGGCCTATAAATATGTGATACCATGCTAGATACTTTATGTTAAATGCCAATGAATGAATGATCTTGAATATCAAGCGAGTGGAGCCAAACCGACGTAACCCTGAGATATTTCAAAGTTGCTTTCACGTTAATGCCCAGATGTGGCTCCATACAACTGGTATATGTCGAATTAGCTTACTAGTAGAGTCTGAAAACTTCAAGTTGAACTTACAAATAGTAACTTGCCCTTGCTGGCTGGGTATGTATTCAAGTGAATAGATGTCGGTACCTCACTGAACAGGCCAAAACACCTGGGCACGCTAGATCTAGGTACTTTTACTCTCATCGTTCGAGCCTCTGTAACGAACCCTTGGTATCCACTATACATATTCCTCGAGGTCATTTCCACAATTGCTTGAAGTCGACACCGTATTCTTTCCATGCATTCTCAGCCTCGAGATCCAGCTTTCCATCTCTGGAAGGGATCAGAAAATCAGACCCATGCTCACCATTCTCCACGGCGTAGAAAACTAGATGTGTCTTCCCTAATGTTAACTTAATGGCACCTTCAATAAAGATGTCAGGTACATATCGACGCGATGCAGCCTGGCCTTGAATCGTGGACAAAATATTTTCCAACACTACACCTGCTTGTGTCCAACCCGCACGCCCCATTCGCGGACCGGAATGATCGGCCACATCCCCAAATGCGAAGATAGGCAGGTTTTTTGTAGGATTGGTGGCACTGAAAACTTGGAGTGTAGGTCGAACTAGGATACGGGAATTTTCTTTCGAGATGGCGTCAGGATAACAAATTTTGAGTAGAGATGAGTTGGGTCGCTGGCCGATACAGCCGATCTGGAAATACCCATGGTTAGCGATGATATAATGAAAACGGCACCGGCTGAAGAATATGAAATGGAAGACTTACAACCAGGTCAAATTCCTCGTGGCCATCCGAGAATGTCAGAGAAGTTGATTGAGCGAAATTTCCTCCCACGGGAAGTTTCGGTCTCTCATTCAGCAAGACGCGTATTTTGAGCTCATCACGCAATGCAGTCAAGACGTAGTCCTGAAGTCGGCTGCCAAAGCGGTTCATAAGCCGATCTCGAGAATGAATCAGTGTAACGTCTTTGGTCGGAAAGAAGTCTTTGATATCGCTTGCAAGCTGGACACCCACTGCACCACCGCCAACAACGGCAATATTCGGACTCGCCTCGATAGTCTGCTGCGCACCCTGGAGCTCTCGACATGCTTCACTCCGTTTATTGCATGATACATTTGCAGGCAACGGCTGTGTTGACCCCGTCGCAATGGCGAGACATGCGTAGTCGATCCTCTCACCAGATGCCAGTAAGACATGAGCATCTGTTATGGCGATAGCCTCGTCTTGGATGCTCGTGAGGATGCCTAAAGGGGCCCCCGTTGCGATGAAATCATACGGAATAAAAGCCCTCTGCTCGTGTCTCTTTAAGACTGAGTATCGTGGGAAATTGAAGATATAGTTGAAGTGTGAGTGCTTCTCAATCCACACCACCTTATTGCCGGTTGGCAATGTCTCGGTCAAGCCTCGCACAAGCTCGGTGCCTGCAAAAGATCCCCCTAGTACCACAATATTCTTTGCGTCTGGTGTGTTTCTCCATGTCCAACTGTGACCATAGGCGGCAACTCGCCGGATGGCAGCACGTCCCAGGTAGGGACCAACCACGATGAGTGCTTTGGTGATAAATGTGACTCTGTCGGATAACATTGTTTAGTATTTGCAAAACATCTGGGGTAGAATCTGGCTTAAAAAAATAAGATGGGTGGGGAATAACATGAGAGAGAGAGAGAGAGAGAGAGAACGAGATTGCCGGCAAATTTTAGGCATCGAGGACTGGTCTTTGCTATACTTCTCAACGATGCATTACCCTCAGCTAGTGACCACCTTTTTTTTTGGCAATCATGAGATGGCGGACTATTCAGAAAATTGTTTCGTAGATCTTTGGTGAGGTTCATCATGTCCATCCATCCTTTTCTGCCTGGCCTTGTACTACCTACTAGTACTCTAAATAGTAGAAGAGATCGAGTAAAAGAATCGGAATTCTACACAGATTATTATTAAAGCGACAAGAACACCTAATATCCTGCTCACCCCATCTCCACCAAAAGCACTTCTGTGATTGCCTACTGATTAAAAACAGTAGTTCCGGGCACAGTTCAATCACCGATACTAGGCTTTGGCTATTTTGATTATCCTGATTATTGACTTCCAATGTTTTAGATAAAAGAATCTTCCGGCTCTAACGTATGACTTCACTCAGTAAATATTTCATAAGTTCTTGCTATAAGAACCCGAAAATAAACATTGTTTACATCCTGATATTACGGTCAACTTGAATGAGACGACGAAGGTGCTCCTTGCTCGGACATCAAGCGTTCCAACTGATCAACCGACTGTTGAACCTCTTCCTGGCTTGGGATATTGACAATAAAAAAGTAGAGGATGTCCCCCTGTAAGAGTCTTTTGACAGTGCCCTTGCCACGATTCTTTTTCTGGCGCTGATCTCTCGCTGGGCGGCCGCGGGCAACGCGCCTATCATTTCGTCTTTCGCGTTTTGCCCTTCGTCGAGCTTCCCTTCTGGGCACGGGGTTAATGGCCCCACCAGTCAAGAGTGCAACCAGAGAGCCACTGTTGGCGGGGTGGTTAGGGTCATTGTATCGTGATCGAAATTGTGGTTGCTCTGTCGATTGCGAAGCTCGAGAAGGGTGGTCATTCTCAGCGTCCTATAGATTTTTGTAATTAGCAAAACGTGCCATCAGGAGGGACAACACAAATTCATACATGAAACGCCTGCCCCCTGCGATCAAAGTAGTCTTGAACCCACGAGCTTGCATTCTTGAATTTATCACCCATACTAGCCTCCTTCCCATCATTCGGAGCCTTGGCCGCCTGTTCTGCAAACCGATCTATATCGGGATAGATGAGTTCAGCAGCTTCAGGGAGTTCAACCTCTCCGTCGATCCGACCGCTGGCGAGTCGGATATTGTTCATTTTCTGTTTCGTCTTGGACAGATTTGGATCTGGGTTGCTGTATTTTGCGGCCACTTCGTCGATACTAAGCTTTTTGCTCGTAAATATTGTTCGGCCTATAGTGCTCGAAAGCTTTTGCAATGCGCCTTTTTGTTCGCCTGGAATTGATTTTTTGAATGACATAACCATGCCGAATAGCCCGCGAGGCATGAGAATATCTTCGTTGAATTTGTCAAGGAATGTGTTCCGACGTGATCGGGACTGAATTTCTCTGGCTGTTCCAGCTGCTGCGGCCACGATGGGTCCGATAATCTGCGCTGCTAATTCAGGAACAAACCCGATGACATTTCCGGCCAAAAATACAACATCGATCCATTTATCGGACTGAATAATTCGTCAGTAAACTCTCCGCAAATGACTTTGAGCTACATGTGAGTGTGTCTCAAGGGATTATTTGTTATTTACCTTGCTTGCTTTCTCCCAATCCACGAGAAACTGCAAGAAAAGCTCCTGACCGACACCACAGTCAGCGAGAACCGGGGCATAGGCCCGAACGAAGCCATATTTCTTTTTTCTGGGTCGACGTTGTGGGATAATAACGGGGCAGGGAAGCCTTTGGGCTGGTTGAGAAGGACCGGCCATCTGCACGAGCTCACGTATCATTTGCTCCTCTCTCATCATCCGCTCGGCATCCGATACACCCTTTGGCAGAGCCTCAGAATCTTCATTTGTTGGGGGTCTGACCCGCTCCGCCATTTCATCGAGCTCCCACTCAGCTTCATCTTGTTCAAAGGCATCGTGGTGATCTGAATCTGAGCTGTCACTCTCCGAGTCATACCCTGCCTCGGCCGCTTTCGAGCGATGCTTCTCGTCAGGACCAGTCAGATCATGTTGGGCATATGTGCTACGAGAGGACTCTCCATAGTCAGTTGGAAGAATCGAATCGCCATAAGCAGGTGGAGCATCTTGAGGATCATGTGGTGTAGCTGAGGTAGAAGGTTGAGCAGAAGATGGCTCTCGCGATCGTGAGCGAGCAGCCTGGATAGCCTCCGATGTGAAGCCAATACCTGTGCCGAGTAATTTCACAAGCTTTCCCATGATGCCAGAATTATGAATAGATAACAAAGATTCAGCCCCGGAACGAGGAAGTGGTAAGCTCTTATAAGGTTATAGTACTCTTCACCGTGACCCTCGTATCCACAGTTGTGATTGGCACAGCCCCGCCACCCACGTGCTAGTTACCGCTCTTGGACAACTTGAAAGTCTAGATCTCGATAGGCACCAAGTGGTGATGATCTATACTTATGCTATTATGCTATTATGCTATTTGGCGAGGATAGTCCATGGGTATCCTTCAGGCACAAAGACAGAGGGAGTGGACGACGATTGACGAAAACCTTCTAAAAATGCATACGAAAGCTCTCTTCGCTGATCACTTCCCCTAAGGCCCACACAGTGAAGTGTAATTTTCCGTCTTCAGCTTTCAAATTACATTTGATCTCAAATTGCAATTCGTGGAAGATGTGGCCCCCGAACTCCCCGTACCTGAACTTTGTTAGATCGAGGGACAAGAAGTTGACAGGGATGAAATCAAGTTTCACATCTATTTACTCGCAGTTAGTAATATGATCGCTACTTGCCAGATTTAACACAAGCCGAGCATACCATCAAACCCAATCATAGCCGACAGATCCTCCTGCGCACAAGAACAAACAGGAACAAAAAGCATCTTAGTCCCACCATGCTGGTGCATCTTAGAAAAGTCCCGATGGTAGAAATGTCCATCCGCATAGGGTTGGCCCTAAAATAACCTGCATTAGGGGTCTTCGTCAAGTGCAGTTTAAGCCTTTTGAAATAAACCTGTCTTACCTTGAGTATGATCCAATCAATATTGTTGCCATTTGAATGAGGATTCAACCCTCCCAAGCCGAAACAAAGAAGAACTAGCAGTCATGGCATACTCACGGGTTTATCGTTGTAGGTACTATCACAGATAGCTTCTCCGATTGTTCAAATCCCTGACGAAATACCTTCTGAACGTAAGGTGAAGATCCTGAGACCCCCGACCAGGATAATTTTCTAGATTGCAACAGTCAGTCTTTAGGTACAAATTCAATACAGTAGATACACCTACCTTGATCACTGAATAGCCATACTTCCAGTTCGTAGCCTTGATCTGTCAGTTGACCAGACGTATTATATTGAAGATTCCTGGATCAAATAGAGACCGTACATCATCATAACTCAGTGAAAATAATAACTTGAAACTCATCTACCTTCACTGGAGGAGATCCTTGAAAATTTGATTGGCATAGAGCCCGTGACTAGATATGTTGTAATATCCTTGTTGGTAATAATTAGCCAGGCGTCTAAATTGTTCTCGGTAGAATCTTCCTCCATCGTAGCGAGAAATCAGTATACGTAAAGAAGACGTACCACGGTCCCACCGCCACAGTCACAAATCAGAATCCCATCACCTCTGTTGGCCTTGAATTCCGAGTCGCTCTGTATTTGGCGATAATCAAAAACAGACTTTGAAGCAGCCTCTGACTCTGACAAGTCTGTACCCAGCGTATCTTGATCTCTCTTAAATCCCCAAGCATTAGTCACCGCCCGTCTGATCAATGCCCGCGCTTTTTGGGACCAGGATGCAGGGAAAGTGAATTGAAGGTGAACGGAAGCAGAATCTAGTTTGATATCTAGATTCTGTTTGAGCTCTTCCCATGTAAATTCCAACACATGTCGTAGGTACTCCGTGATAACTTGCTCGGCATATTGGCAATTGACAGGAAACAAAGCCGGGTGAAGATCGCCTTGCAAAGTTGTGTTCATCAGTACCTCATCATCAAACTCATCCAAGCTTGAATTATCATGCAGCAAAAGCTTTGTCCAGAAGTAGGAATTCATGTTGGGGTCTACGTCAAAGGCCCAGCATGTTGACTTCATGGAGAAACTTGGGTTGTCGGCAAGAAAGGCAATCCTGGATGGGATCTTTCTATAAGCTTCATTGTTCGGCGGCCGAGGTGGAATTTGATGTCCACTAAGTTCTCGCATGCGTGTGTTTTTGCTACCCGGTACTATAATGATGCATATTGCTGAATTTGCATGACTTAGTCAAGGCCCCAGTGTATTGAATCACCCCGAGTCTTTCAAAACCTACTTGTGCCTGTGGTTCCATAGTCAAGCCCGATGATGACTTTGTCCGTAGTAGCAACTTGAAGTTGGGCAGACCCCATGGTGCAAGCAATTGTTTATTGCAGATAGTTGATCTTCTCTTGATGTATGAATATGAAGAACGTGAGATACCTCCCCGTAAGGTCACTTATAAGTCATTTTCTAGTCATTAGCCCGCTACAAAGTACAGAGACATTCAAATGGGCGAGCCTGCGATTCGCCGTTCTTGGCACGCATTTTGAGACAAATTCTTTCTGAGTGGCCATATGGCGTTCATTCCAAGTCTGCCAGGGACTAGTTTGATTCCTTTGGAAGACGAAATCTTCCCTCCTGACCATAATAGAAATCCCCACCAAATTAATATTGCTCGCCGTTGAGTTCGGGACATTTACAAAAGTGAGAAGTTTCTGCTACATCTGTCATATCTGTGATGGGCTAAATGCTTTCTTGGGCTTGTAATTTCCAACAAATTCATGAATGGTGTTGGTTATCGGGAATGCTACAGCCACCTACAGGCCGCGGGAACACTAGTACATTTGACCAATCCCAATTGATCATGCGGGCCACTATTCAGAAGTCACCTGGGAACCTCTGAAATGAGCTCAGAGTTTGTCTTAGGTATACCGGGCCTGGAAGAAACCCGTAGCCCCGAATGACCGAGTCGCAATTACTCCCGTTATTATTTCCGTGGCTAGACATACGGGAAGGCTATGAAACAGGCAGAGCAGTAGAACAAAGAAATGGGAGTCACGATACGGGATCGCTGTTGCCAAGGCGGAATTTGAGACAAAGAGTGTAATCCTTTCAAGACTACCGCTGAGAGGGTGGTTTCGAAAGACCGAGAAGTTCTCATGGAAAAGGGGAATCATTCTTTTACTACTTTCCTTTGAAAGGATTTCGGATATCTAGTTGGTATGTTGCCAGATTTCTGCCCTCGATTCAATTCTCAATGCATCGATTTCCTTTTGGCAACTTACCTACATACTGCCCGAAATTCCGTGAGCCATGGCACGTCGCAAAGCGAAAGCACCTCCAAAGGCAAAATCAATGACTAGAAAGCAGTCCCACACCTCATACGGGGTGAGAACGTCTTTTCCAAGCTCAGAAATAAAAACCACAAGCTAACGCTTAGAATAGGGCTTAGAGGCGGACCAGTTGGGCCTACGCGAGAAAACACCACCACCATTAGATGTATCCTCCCCCGAAACCGATTTAGGCGACGGTTGGGGAATACCCAAAAAAAGAAAAAGAGATTACAACCCGGATGACGGCGACAATGAAACTATTACGGAGCTGGATGACAAGATAATGATGGATCCGAAGGAGTATATCAACAGGCTGGAGAAAAAAGTCGAAGAGCAAAAGGAGCTTATCATACTCTTGGATAGACAAGTGGGGGATCTCTTGTATAATAATGCCAACACGCTAAGAGACGCCTGGTATATGAAAAAGACTCTCCCGCCTTCGGCCATTTGGGGACATGGTCTGACTCACTAAAAAGTTGGATATACTGGTGCCACCACAGGGCACTCAACTATAGTAACAAGGGCATTGGGAAGTGGAAGGATGTTCCAAGTGAGACAAAAAAGGTAACCATCGCCAGACTGAAGGGATGGGTTGTTCAGGGGGACTTCGATGAGATCGTATCACGAATGCCTCCTAACTTTCGGGAGAACGCCCTGTTATGGTTTGCTCAAATGCTCATAACCAAAGAATGCCTCGAACTGTTCTTCGGAGACAGCCCATTTTGGTATATGAAAGGGGCAGTTGGGGATGATAGTGACGAGACTGGTGTACGAGCCTTTTCCTCGCTCCCTGAAATACATGACACCAAGGTCAGTCTCTCGCACTCAGAATACCTTTTTACCTGCTGCAGGTCGGATTAATGGAACCTTTTTTTTTCTTCAGCCAATATCCACCTTGCTGATCACTGGAGAGCTGTGACAACAACTCTGTTAAATACGACATGGGGTGGACTCTTCCACTTACATGATCCTACTCCCGTGAAAGAGATCCTGCCTATTCGAACCGCAAAAGCCAAACAGTTCGCTGAAGCAAGATGGGCTGACAAACACTTTCAAAATTTACTTGGAAGTTTTTTAGATATCGGCAAAGAGTCGTTTTGTACACGCTACGTGGACATGGCTCATCTATCAATGGGGAAGTCAACGACATCAGCGTCTCTGACATGGCGAACACTAGAAGATGGCCCAACCCTCCAAGAACAGGCCATTTACCTCAATTCTATCGTCGCTCTCGGGACGTTGAGAGTTCACATTCGCATAAGCTAATCGACAATCCCTCAAGTCTCGAAAAACGCCCCATAATCGCACTTATTTCACCGACCTTTGTACAAATTGGAAGGGTATGCACATTAAGACCTGGTGATACGGTCAAAAAGGCGGAGGTCATTATAGATGACCCCCTAGGACAACCTGGAGATTGGTGTGAATCGGATGTAGAGGCCGAGGCAGCTTGGCAAAAGAATCTCCCAGCTGATATGATGAAGAAGAGAAAGACACAACTAAAACGAGAACGAGAACAAGAACAAGAGGCCAGAAAGACGAAGGAGGACAACAAAGAACTTCAACAGACTTCCACCTGGGCATTTCAACCTTGACAATTACTTTTCAAGACTCGATGCCCAGCTGTTTTTGCGATTGCATCCCTTTTCTTATGTATCTTGCCTGTTATACCAGATTGCTCAATTTTATCATTCAACACTGGTTCTTTTTCTGGTTTTACTGGAACCCAATGGATTGGGACTTCCTGTGCAGGTGTGGCTGTCACTAGTAACGATTCCTCTACGAGATCATCTCAAAGAATCAGGTAAACCCATGAACACTAAATAAATTCTTGCTCCCAAACCGATAGATTACATCCTTAAATCAGCCAAACAGGTATATGCATCTCAAACGTTTCTATGGAACTAAGTAGCTTTCCAGAGCAAGTTGACTTGCTTTTTCCGGGCCTACCAGACATGCGATTAGCGTTGAACAAAGGCAACAGGGGGATACTAGAGAGCAAAAGGATACTTACAACTGGGGCCAAGAAGATGACACCCCCAGTCAATGCCACTACAGTCAAGACCAACTGCAACTTGGAGAAGCTCTTGCCCAAAACATCGAATGCCTGACTGGGGGTAGCGCGAGTTCCGAAGATGTCGCCACCGTATGCAAGGACTAGGCTGGTGCTCTCCAGTAATGTGGGACGAGAAAGCACATCTTTGATACCAGCGACATCACGTGCGTGCGTGAGGTACCATTTTCCATCGAAGTCAAGGAATGGTGCGTAGCGGAAGAGTCCCTCTTCAGCCTCGGCAGAAGTTGGGTCTCGGTCAACGGGGCGACGAGGGTCCAGAACAGGACGGGGGATTCCGACGATGGAGTTGGAAGATGGCAGAGTGCAAACAAGCTGGCGGGTGGTGATACCTTGGCGGGTTTGGGTCACGATCATGTGGGAGATGGGCTCTGCGATCATAAATGATTGAGAGACAACATGGGGAAGTGGAAGGCTATCGGTGCCGCTGCCGTGGAGACTGGAGTAGTTTCCGGCCGCGTCTAGGGGGCCACGGTCGTTGGCAATGGAAGACTCGTAGAGCTCAGATATGACCAGCTGGTAACCCTTGGCGGAAGATTCGCCAATAGCATCTCCGAAAAACGAGTATGCGAACCAATTCTCAGACATCACAGACGAAATAGGCTGCGTAGGATCCACACCAGCCTGGGTCGCTGAGTGAAGGACCTTTCCAGAGACGCCATCTAGAAGGTAAAAACCGGCAACGTGATCTTTCTCATTGACAGCTGTCACAAGTACCAGATTCGTACTGAGATACTTGTACAGAACAGACCGGTTTCCAAGAACCTTACCAATTGATGCGACAGGATCATGCGCGGGCCGAGCAGTTGCCTTGACGACCCTTTGGCCCGACGGAGGAACAAACTCCCACACAGGCGTCTTGTTATCACTCTCAATCCAGCCAAGGACCCGACCATTGGCACTAGTGGTAACCAAAAACCCTGTAATATCGTTGAATGGAGTAACAGGGCTGCCGTCCTCTCTGATACCAACAGCACCGAGGCGAACAAGCGAAGATCCATCTGACACCACAAAGTTGGCAATGGACTGAACATTTGTAGCTTCGAGTGGGGGTTGGGTGAAAGTTTCGCCTGTCGAGGCATTGATTGACACATAACTACCGTCACTGAGATCAATGATAACTTGCCCCGGACGAGCGGTGATATCTTTGACGTCCCATGCCTGCTCCGACGCCTGGACACTCCACATCACCGAGCCTTGTCGGCCAGTATCAAGAGAATAAACTCGGCCGTTGCGGGTGGCCACGACGACAGGCTTGGCGACTCCAAAGCTATCCAAGTTGGTGACTTCATCAGACAACACACTACTGACGATACGCTGCGGCAGCTCCTTGAGCCAATCGGGCAGGTGCTGGAGGTCACGCACATGACGCTTGACACGGTGAATGTATGCGCCATGAATGCTATCATGTCCCTCAACCTCCAGCTCATGAGCGAGGTCTTCCTTCTCTTCAGCCTCAACCCAGATGGCAGCAACAGCTTCGATCAAGGCCTCGGGGCGAGTCCACTCGATCTGGCCATTTCGAATCAATTGCCAATCTCCAGAATCCCGCAGAACGACAGCTCGAACGGCCACAGATTTGCCCTTTGCGACGACTTCGGCTACTGCAGCCTGAGCATAATCGGGAGATGAGGCATCCACATTCCAACGCCCGATGATACCATGCGAGGCGGAAGAGACCACAACAACTTCCGAGTCAGCGACGCGGGTGAAGTAAACGTTGGCATCGATACTGCTCGTGGCGATCACAGACTGGCCCTGTAGGTAAGGCAGCTGATAAGCCTTGTTTACAGCTGCCGACTTCAGATCTACGTGGTAGACCTCCGCCCATGCCCCGGATCCAGTCTTATAGTGAACCAAGAAGTGCGGAAGGGAGTTCAGCTTGTGAGGGGCATGGACCGTAACTTGGCGTATCTCCTCACCGGAAGTGTTATCAATGGCGAGAGAGCTGATTTGCTTTGACCCAATAACATTGATTTTGAGGGACTTGTGCGCCTTATCGGTCCAGATAATCAATGGGGACGCAGTGTTGGCTCCAACGAAAAGGACAGATTCGGGCCCCGTGATATCACCTTCAGTGTTCAAGACCTGTTGGCCAGTTTGGCGGCCAGTGATGGGGTCGAGTGCAGTAACCTTGATCTTTGAGCTCTTCAGAATACCCGATTGGAGCGAAATGTAGAAGACCTCAGAGGGAGAAGACGAGACCTGGAATGGAATATCTCCGCTGGAGGATAATGTTAGCAGTGCCAGAGTACGGGGACATCTGAAACAAACCTTTCATCGATATATTCCCACTTCACAGCTCCCGAATCGCCATCGAATCGTCTGACGGAGCCAAAGCTTTTGCCAGAAATCAGCGCAAGCGTGTCTCTAGTGTCAGATGTCGCTGTGGCATCCTCCAGTTCGAGAAGCTCAATGTCAGCAACGGTATTGCCGTCAAATTGCTGGTCCCAAATCAATTTCCCATCTTGAGCACCCCACGACGAGATGTAGTCTCCTGCTGCACCAACAACCGCGTTGTTTCCATCCAGGCCACGCAAGAGACCGGCCCCGCCAGCCGGAGAAGCCGATCGCGAGATGTTGTGTCGCCAGACCAGTGCGCCATCACGGGGATTGACTGCGCCCAGGATCGACTTGTCGGACAAAGTGTAGAGGAGTGATGCGTTAGAGGCGGAGGAGGGCTTGAGGAAGAAGGTCGAATCGGGGGATGGGGCACCGAGGAGGGCGTGGTGGAAGTCGATGTGATTAACCTCGTCGGAAAATATGGCTGCCACGGGCGATACGCACGCAGCAGCCAAGAGCGCCGCTTGAAGTCGCATGTTGTTGAACGAGCGACAATCCGGGAAGGGGGCGAGAGGAGAGGTGGAGGTGGTGGGTGTTGTCGACAGCTCTCGGCGGAGGAGATGCCCCGGACGGCAGCTAGGCGGAACGCATTCTTTTACTCCACCAGCACTCGCACCAACCTCATCTCCTCTCAACTCAACATCTCGACATCCTTGAATTCAATAATCTGTGCAAAACCTAACTGGAATGCGCTCCAATGATGACCAAAACAACTTGATTGATTCTTCTTCGCTTTTCTACTGATCATAAACCCAGCATCATTCTTCCGCAATGGCATCCACTTCAATCTCAACCAGCATGTCATCATCCACGAAGCTATTAGCTACTACAATCATAGTCGCAGCCGCTCCAACCTGTCCTCCATTCTGCTTCCCCAGAACTTCCCTGAATGCCTCGCCAACAATCCCACAATCCTCTTTCCTGCTCACGAACATCCGACACCGAACCACACTCTCCGCCCCTTTCCCACCGACCGCTTGAATAGCTTGAATGATCTCCTCCAATGTCACACGTGTTTGCTGTCTGGCATCACCTGGATACCTGACTCGTGGTGCCTCCGGGGGAGAATCGGGATCTGCGGCAGTCGAGCCGGATACAAATATATGCTGTCCATGCCGAACTGCTCGGTAGTAGCCGAACCGAGCTTCCCATGGGGAGGAAGTGCTGTAGAAGCGTTTAGCTTCGGAGCTTGCTTCTGGAGACATGATGTAGTTTGTGGTTGATAGCTCTGGGGCTATCCGTCAATTCGAATGGAGTGTTTGGGGTGCTAGGTCATCAGCTTGCGAGTCAGCTTGTCGAGCTCGGATGTCCGGTACCTCAAGTCGTAATTAACTTGGATTGTAGAAGATCAGTTGGGACTAAATTTTTGATATACAGTTTTCGAAGTGGCTTTCGATCTCGTTTTATGCTGCCCCGCTACTCCCGTATTGTCCGGGTGCGAGTGAGTCATGCATTCCATTCTTTAGGGGCGAGTGGCTAGCAATACTTCAAGCGGGAAAGAGGGGAAACACTAATATCTATCGTTGAAGACACCATACATCAACTAGTATGAAATAGATATTGAGTTCAACTCCGAAACTGGTACTAGTATCAACCTTGGAGGGCTGCTAAATGGACCATATGCCCTTCTGTATCCAGATTAGTATGTAATGTCCATACAACTTTGGATACACTTAATGTAATACCTCTATAGCGCTGTAAAAGTTTCTAGTCCCTTGTTGACCTCTCTAGTCTCCGCCTTCCTATGGTGGACTAGTACCTATCCGAGATTGAATAGAGTAGCTAATCTATTCTATGCCAGGTAGGTACTAGTCTGGTATTAGAAGACAGTAACTAATGGAAGACAATAGGCAGTTAGAATCGTTCGCAGTGCTACTGTAGACATAGATTGAGTATATCTAAATTTGTATAGATATTACATACTAATCTGGATTCAGAAGGGCCCATGGTCCATTTAGCAAAGAGAGTGGTCCATTTAGCAGCCCTCCAACCTTGGAACACATAAACTCACTTAAGCTTCACAATATGTACAGCTCTAACTATCTCACTCCAGTTGCTTCTACCTCATCTATACCTGCGATCGATTAGAACAGCGGTACTACTACTACTATCTAAATGCTTATTTGAGATGTAATACGATGTTTCAGTATGAATGCAATATCCCTCTCATTTTAAAGAACTAATAACACCTTTATATGAATACATGCAGTTTAATCCTTATTTTACAGACCAAAGCAAGCCTGGTTGGCAGAGCGCACAGCTTCCTTTTCACCCTCGCTCATAGAATTGGTGATCTCCCAGGGCTTGTTACCAAGTCCCATCGCACGCTGCCCCTCGGGATTCAACGACGACCACTGCAGAGCACCGTTAAATCCTCTCTCACCTGCACCTCCAGCTCCGGGGAAGTCCCAGGGAGGAGAGTAGTCAAGAGCTGCTTGGCGCTGCTTCTTCAGGTAGTCAATGTTCATGTCACACAGAGGAGTAGCTGGAATGTAGAGAACACTAGAATCACCTGCCCCGCGATGTTCCTTGTCCACTGAGTGTAGCATATCACAGTGCCAAGCGACAAAATCACCGGGCTCGACCTTCGGGACAGGGACCATGGTCGATTCCAGCTCAAGCTGGGGATGTGTCACTGGGTTGTACTCCTGGCAAGCGCCCGGAACAGAGCCGGGGAAAGTGTTGTCTAGGTTGGGTTGTTGGGTTTGCACATCGAAGAATGGTCGTAGGATAGTGTATGCGGTGCTGTGTCGGATCATTGGGCAAACATGTAGTGAACCTTCGCCGGGGGCCGTCTCGGACATGGATAGCCAGCCCTGGAAGAAACGCAACATCGAGCAGGCACCCGCACCGTTGTACAGGTCCATCTTGGCACCCAAGCGGTGCTTCACATCCCATGGATCATAGGCTTCCCAGTTGCCCTCAAGAATCTGTTTGTATACACTTGAGTATTCTGGATCTTCCCAGCGCTCCAGCGAGCCACCGTCGATATGGGGACCGAGTGTGAACTTGGCATCACCAGGATCGCGAATTCGCAGGCGATCTCCGTAAGTGAGTGGATTGGATGTCGAGACCTTTGTTTTTGGGTCCGATGAATGCCACAGGCGCTGCAGGAAACGCTGAGAATCCAGCATGTTGGGATGCGCGCGAGCCTCCGCCTGCGATGGAGTCCAGTACAATTCGTAGACGGCTGGAGACTCAGCCGGGAAAGCCTTCACGCGGTCCTTGTTGGCTGCGACGTACTCTTGGATGCGGTTCTTGTAGTCACGCGCCTCTTTCCGGGGCACGACATTACGAATAACCACAGTGCCACGGTGACGGATTTCTTTCATCGTAGCTTCGGGTATTTTGCCTGCCACAACATCGGCATATTCTACCGATGGAATAATCTGTTATACTATTTCAGCAAATGCCATCGATTGTGGGATTGTTGACAGCTATCTGGAATGATGGGACATACGTCGCTGCCTTTGGTCTTGATCTTGTCGACCTCTTCTTCAAGGCTAGGCAAGAGCCGCTTCCAGCTCTCGGTCAAAGCCTTTTCATTTTTCTCGAACAATCTTGTCTTCAGATCACGAAAACGCGGGGGGAGAGGCTCCGGTTGGTAGTCTGGTCTTAAACTGGGGAAAACCGATGAAATATCGCCGGCGGCTTTAGTTGTTTGGGCCGCACTAGATGTCGATGCGGCGCGGGCAACAGTTTTTGAAAGGTGTCGAGACATCGCCATGATTGAGTATTGGATGGATCACTGAACAAAGAGATATTTAGGGAGCTAAATCTTGTCCTTTTATACGTACGTCGCCATCGCGGGGTGTAGATCACTGACAGGGCGGCAGTCTACTATTTTAGGAAATCTTCCCGGCGAAAGGCGGTTAGGGTACCAAAATAAGACTAGCGCTTTATTTATATCTGTACAAGATTCAAGTTGGTGGTAAAACGTATCTCATACTCGTAGTCAGATATTGAAGGAGGCGAGTTGATTCTTCGGTTTCGGATGATCACACTACCAGTCACCTCTCATTGCCACTCCAGGTTCGACTCCAGAGTTTGGATATTCCCTAGATCTATTCAGTAGACCAACTGGCAATTGATGACTACTACTTTCTCACCTACCCATTCGCTGGCCATAACTAATATCGAGGCCTCGAACTCGATATCGGGTCATTTAAAACAGCCAAAAAAGATACTTCGCTCAATACATGGAAGTAGATAGATGGAAGTTCATCTGTGGCCAGTTGACCCTACACGAAATGTGATGCACAATCGAGGCCTCTTATTGAAACAGCGATGACGGTTCAGATATCAACAAGTCAAAAAGAACCCGATTTCGCCATGACGGTAGGTATATACGAAGGTGCCGAGAATGTTCCCGAACTTGAGTGGACTGCCGGGTTAGGAAATTTACCCGCCTTGATGGAGCAGAGTGAATGATGAAGTCATTTTCCATTGGAGATGCGGGGCGCTCGGCATTGCGCCGACTTGCCGGGAAATTCGTTGTTGAAGCACAAGGGGAAAGGTATAGCAAAGCGGTCACTAGAGCATAATCATTCTATTTTTGTAGATAAGGCGAGAGTACCAAAAGTAGGATCTTTCGGGTTATATAGTCTTAGAGTTAACTCCCTTGAGAAGTGATCCCTCCAAATAATTGATTCGAATAGGGCAATTCTAGCGATGAACCGTCTCCCCTCTGCCGATCTATCATTTATGGGCAAGAATGAAAGATGCTCTGCATGTAAGCCGTCAGATGATCCGGAAGAGCCAAAAAAGCAAAGAACTAGAACCTAATAAAACGGCAAAAGAGCCGAGTCTTGGCCTACACGTACTTCTCGGTCGAGGTATCGGTTAAATCCCACGCGGGGTGCTCTAAAATGGCTATGCTACGCGCTGTAAAGGGACCCGAAGTCCCACCATAGGTTCCACAGGGTACCCCGGCATAAAGAAGCAGACGGATCCGCAGGAGAGGGGAAAAGTATCTCTGAAGGAAATCATCACTTACCCAGAAGCTGATAGTACTATGGCTTTACCGGTTCAGGGTAGAACTGCCATCATTACTGGCGCAGGCTCCGGTAGGTCACATTTCTCTCATTAAACGTATATTGAAATAAAAGACCTAAAACTTATTCTCATTGCCCGCTAGGCATCAACCTCGCATTTGCCAAGTTATTGCTAGAAAATGGTTGCAACGTCTTGATCGCGGACTTGGGCTTGCGTCCCGAAGCTCAGGTGCTCGTGGACAAGCACCAGGCTGGACCTGTGAGAGCTGTATTCCAAAAGACGGATGTGACAGACTGGTCACAGTTGGAGCGGATGTTTGAAGTTGCAGAGAAGGAGTTCAATGAGATCGATATTGTCTGTCCCGGTGCGGGGGTCTACGAACCGGTAGGTGTACTCACCTATTCTTTTATGATATTTTCGGGCCCGATTTTGCTAATCAGGTCTACGATTTGAACAGCACTGGAGTAACTTCTGGCGTCCTCCTGGTACTGCACCCAGCAAGGACTCTGGCGGTCGCTACGCCCTGGTGGATATCAATATCACACACCCGATCCGCACGACACAGCTGGCGATTGCTCATTTCCTGCGCCACCGTGAAAACGGTCGTCCCAAGCACATCGTCCATATCTCCAGTATCGCTGGACAGAATTCTGCCTTTGCGGCCCCGATCTATGTGGCAACGAAACACGCCATCAACGGCCTCGTGCGATCACTTGGTAAACTCGAGAAACTGGGTATCCGAGTCACCGCCGTGGCGCCCGGAGTGATAAAAACCCCTCTTTGGACAGATCACCCGGAGAAGCTGAAGATGGTGTTGGATAGTTCCGACGAGTGGGTGACTCCCGAGGAGGTTGGCGAGGTGATGCTGGCCCTTGTGCAGCAGGAGCAAGTGAGCGAGGTCATTGGTGATCGGTCCGGAAAGGGCAAGCAGTTCACTGTGTCTGGAGGCAACATCTATGAGGTCTCCAAGACGGTTCGACTGGTAAATGCGTTCAACGACGAGGGCCCCGGCAATCGGCCGGGAAACACTGCGTCCGACCACGCAACGGTGGAGGAGGAGAGTTTCGGACTTTTAGCGCAGCCGGGATGGGGACGATCCAAGCTGTGAGAAGTTCCCAATGTGAGGTAGTCAGAATGAGTCCATATCACGCCATTCAACAACAATGACTATGATGCCATCATGCACGAGAAGCAAATGTAGCATTCCCAAATCAATTGCACTCGTAGAGTACATAGAGGAGAGTAAAAGCGTGGCTGTGGGTGCGGGCCAAGAAAGTCCAAGTCAGGTGCTATCGGCTCCGATAAGACGAGGCCACTTGGACTAACCTTCGAAACCCCCCAAGCCCTTTCCTCTCTCTTCCACGCGTGTCACATCTTGGCTCCGCTCTTTGTGGTCGCTGGAAGGTTTTGTACCGGGCCAAATTACCACAGAGGTATCAGCGACGATTCTCTAACGATGGAGGCGGACGTGGGGGTTGGCCCTGCTGGGACCTCCCAGAGTGGCCTTCGACGGTATGTCTGAGAGTCTCGGCCTTGCCTTGCCTTGCAATGAAATAACCAGATATACGTATTCCAGACGTCCAAATCGAGGAAAACGTGAGACTGGCATCGCTGGCGACGCCAGCTGGTCGAGCAGTGTCATCAATCTCGTCAATACCAGTGAGTGGAAACGGTCGATATCTGGCGACGACTTGGATGTTCCCCGGTGTCACTAACAATGCAACTTTACTTCGATAGTTATCGGTGCCGGAGTTCTTGCCATGCCACTGGCTATATCACATATGGGAATTCTCTTGGGAACATTCGTCATCCTTTGGTCTGGGGTCACAGCGGGCTTCGGTCTCTATCTACAATCGCGATGCGCTCAATACCTCGACCGCGGAAGCGCCTCTTTTCTTCGCCCTGTCGCAATTGACATACCCTAACGCTGCTGTTGTCTTTGATGCCGCAATTGCCATCAAATGCTTTGGAGTGGGTGTCAGCTATCTCATTATTATCGGTGACCTGATGCCAGGCGTCGTCAACGGCCTCGTTGGAGGCGACCCGGCCTTTGACTTCCTCGTGGATCGTCATTTCTGGGTAACCGCCTTCATGTGAGTTACAATCAATAGACCCGATAATCTTCTATGTTGCTAATAGGCTTCCCCGAATAGGTTGATCGTGATCCCCCTTTCATACCTTCGTCGGCTAGACTCATTGAAATATACGAGTATTGCGGCCTTGGTGTCAATGGCCTATTTGGTCGTCTTGGTCGTCTACCACTTCATCAAGGGCGATACAATGGCGGATCGTGGCCCTGTTCGTGTGATCCATTGGGCAGGCCCGGTCCCAACTTTGAGCAGTTTCCCAGTGATCGTATTTGCATTCACCTGCCATCAGAATGTAGGCTCCTCAAATTAATGTGTTTTTCCTCGCATATCAGCTAATCGAATCGCCAGATGTTCTCAATCCTCAACGAAATCAAGAACAACAGTCATTTCCGCACGACAAGCGTCGTGTTTGCCAGTATTGGCGGCGCGGCGGCCACTTACATTCTCGTCGCCATCACTGGTTACCTCTCTTTTGGAAACAATGTCGCGGGCAACATCGTCGGCATGTATCCACCAGGCATCGCGGCAACAATTGCACGTGCTGCTATTGTGATGCTTGTTGTCTTCTCCTACCCACTCCAGTGTCACCCTTGTCGGGCGTCAGTGGATGCTGTTTTGAAATGGCGCCCGAAATCCGCGCCTCGATCAACAGAGGGCTCACCACACCGACACCCATTGCTGGGCCCACGCGGTACTCGAACCGTCGAGCCGATGAGTGACTTGCGCTTCTCTGTCATCACCACCACCATTCTTATCCTGAGCTACCTCGTCGCTATGACTGTTTCCTCCTTGGAAGCAGTGCTCGCTTACGTTGGAAGTACCGGAAGCACAAGCATCAGTTTCATCCTGCCAGGTCTTTTCTATTACAAGATCTCTTCACCTGATTCTCCCGCCCATCGCGGCCTTCTCAAGGACGACGAGGCAGCTGATGACCTATCTGATGAAGAGACTCCTGACGATGAAGGCGAGGGCTCTCTTACTCAGTCATTGACAGGTAGTGGCTTCTTGCCTCGACCTGCTCGCCACTGGCGCAAGACAATCCTGCGCCGTCTCAGCCTAGCCCTTGCTCTCTACGGTGTCGTGGTCATGGTCGTGTGCTTCATCACCAATACATTCTTCATTGCATCCCCTTGAGGGATAATAATTAGCTCGCCCGCTATATGCTGTCATTTAACTTCTTTCCTTTTCCTGCACGCTGAAGAACGTGATACTTTTCGTCTACCTTTACAAGTCCATAGATATTCTCTTCTTTCTTTTCCCTCTTCGTTCCTTTTTTTGTTGCATATTTGTTTCATTTCAGCATTCCTTCTTTGTAAATTTCCTGCGCGAATCCTTTCATTTACATTTCTCGATTTCGAATTACGCAAGACGTTTGGAGCTGTTAATTGACACTTGCTTGATTTGCTTACATCCTTGATCCATTGGCTACCAATACTTGCAAGCTGTGCCTTTTTAAAGTAAGAATCGAGATAAAATGAGTTTGACATAGTAATTAATGAATGCCCTTTGCAAGCATAACAACAAATGATTGAGTTTAAGAGAACTGGAAAAATGAATATTCCGAAACAGAGCAGAGCAGATATAAACAAAGACAACTTGAAGAAAAGCCAAATAGACATCATGCTCATGAAACCAGCACCGAGAAGTGCCTAAAACTGCTAGCTATTCAAAGTGACGTCTCGATCAAACCCGCCCGACGATCCAAACTTCAAATCAGGAAATCCTCCAATCCATTACCAGGGGCAGGAGACACTGCATGCACATTGGATACTGAGCTTAGCTTAGATTAGCTTAGTTGTTGTTGGAGCCATTCAGGATACGCAGAATGGACATGAACAAGTTCAGCACATCGAGATACAGCGAGATAGCAGCAGCAATTTCCTCCTCAACATGGTAGTGGCGCATAACCAACTGGGTATCGACAAGGATGTAACCCGAGAAGATCAGCGCGCCCAGGACACCGTACACGATCTCAAGGGTACTGTTGAAGGGAATGAAGGCCGCGACAAACCCGAACAAAATCATGAACCAAAGTGCGCCGAAGAGGTACGGCATCCAGTCGGTGAAGTCGTACTTGGTTTGGCAAGCGAAGAGGGTGAGGGCGACGAAGATGCCCAGTGTAAGTACGAGCGCTTGCACGACGACTCGGACTTCGTAGAAAGATGTTGCTACGCTGACGGCGTAGGCTTCTAGAAGAGTGAAGCCGGAGAGGAAGAGTAGGTTCGTTGGGTAGGATTTGCGCTTCCAGTATGTTGCCAGCATGAAGCCCAGTGCGCCGAAGACGGAGATTATCATCAGCCAGAAGTTGGACTGGATCCAGGTGCGGTAGGTAGCGTTGAAGAAGGAGATGGAGCTCATGATGGTTGTGAGGAGGATTTGGACGGTGCTGGAGAAGTAGATGTTAGCAGGTTTCTTCTTTCCTTCATGATAGTAGTTTGTCGTTTTGTTAGGAGAGCGGGGACATACAGAATCGAGTACACCTTGCGGACGAACTGCATGCGAATTTCGATGGTCCCCTCCGCAACAGTTCCGCCGAACTAACGATATATTAGTTCTTGTTTCTTTACCACACGATCATACATCTCATTGCATACCTTGAAGTCATCGGGCAAGTTGTCGTTCTCGCTGCGTGGCTCCGGGTCTGGAACTGCTGTCGCCTGGTAAGACGGAGGTGCTTGAGTGTATTCCTGGTCCTCAAGAGAGTCCCGCGTCGGGGCGCGCTCGTATCGCGCGTTAGCAGCCATGATATCGATCTCCAGCTATCTTGTTCGATGGCAGAAGTTGATGAGAACGTTGAGAGATGCAAGGGTGGGAGGGAGGCTGAGGCATCAATGGCGGCGGGATGGGGAGGCTCCGATGCCATGTGACGTTTAACACGTGACTTGATCTACACCACAAAGCGGGCCCGTGGAGTCGAAGTGGGACTGAGAACTATAAGATTGTACAAAATGGGAGAGCAATGTAGATATAACAATATGTGCATTTCATCACGAGATGACTGGAGTCTATCTGATAGTTCTAATAATTTGGTTTCACCTCATTGAATTCATCAACCCTACTCGACGATGCGGCGCATGGTTGGGGACTGCCGTTCAGTAGGTGGTAGTTGTGATTCTTCATGCGCAGCATCGGCTATGGATCCAGAATCATCGTCGGTAGTCAATGCGACATCCTCATCCTCATCAGTGGAGTCGTCTGGAGTGTGGTGTATCTCATGAGACATGCTAGCGTTGGACATGTAAGTCGGGAGCCGACGGCGCTGGAAGTCCTGGGCATGTGCCGAGGCAACAATAGTCCCGACGCGAATGATGCCAGCAGAGGGGCGTCTGTTCCGAGCACGTAGACTGGATGTAGTCGCGGCTCCCTGTTCGATATCTGCTGGCTGAAGGAATGGCGTCGCAACATGCTGCTGTTCCTGTAACTGCACATCGTCCGACTGGGGTCCGTCCAAGCCGGGCGTTGGAACATCCGGGATTTCGTAAGGAAGAGGCACATCCCTTGAAGCTCGGAACAAGAGCACATTCGTACAATGTTCATTCTCCACTCGGAAGATGGACCACACACCACGACGGAAAATTTCGGAGAGTGCAACAACAAAGCTTAGGACTGCCGAGTGCTGAATGTCATGAGACCAAATGGCGTAGAAGATCCAGTTGAATCGAATCACGACATCTAGCACCATGGCTGCGTAGTAAACCCAGACTCGTCGGAAGGCAATGACCTCACGCAGGAGTGGGTTCTTGGCGTATGGGTTACCCAGACTCCAATCCATGATCAAATCCCAGACTGAGGTATAAACGGCATTAAGAAGAGCGAAGGTAATGAATGACGCCTGGAACCTCGTCTGGCGGTCGATGCGATACATGCTCAGGGTTGCGTAGTACAGAACACTAAAAATATACTTCCCTAAGTTAAGCAGATGAGGGAACGCATTCTTGGTATCGGCATATCGACGAATGCATTGGAATGCTCGCCAAACCGCCGGGAGGCAGGTGAAAAATCCCAGCAGCCTAGAGTGGTTGGAGTTGCATTTGACAGGATTCGTCCAATATGAGGCGTACAGACAGAAAAATAATTCAATGTTCTGTGAAAGGTCAGCAAAGCTTCGGCAGCAGGTTTGATATCATTTGTACTCACTCCCATCGCATAGGTTTGGGAACAAAACATATCGCCGAGGAAGAAATCACGGAACTCAACCGGATATATCCCAGCAAGCAAAAGTCGCCACTGTCCTGGTTAACTCGTAATTCATTGTGCGCAGTTGGGGTAACTCACATTTGAAAAGGCAAACCACTTGCGGCTGCGGTGATACAACACGCGAGCGGGCAGGAAAACGATAGAGACAGACAGACCGATAAGTACAACAGGCCAGTATATGTACATGGAATTCATCCATGAAAAATTAAGCCACATGAAAAGACCCATGAGGAAGATAAAAAATGAAGGTATCTAGAGATTGTCAGTAAAAGCATGCCCATGAAAGCGAGTTCACCGTCCCTATGCTTCCACATACCTCTAACAATTGGCGCCACTCTAAGGTGTGCCTGGTATCATATTCAAAAACAAATGCATAGTTAATCTTCGACTTTGTCCATATCATGCAGTCCAGGCAGAATAGCAGGACGTGAAAAACGATGAGGAAATAGCCCCCGTATATCTGTATCAGGTTAGGCACATGTGACACCGCGAGCGGGGGATTGGAGGAGGGGGACGCAAGGGAGTACGAACCTGCAATAAATAACTCGTCCGAACCTGTTCGGACACTTCAGAAGAACCGAGACGATCGGACGCATACACCAGGCCCTGGATCGCGAAAAGCGTGCCGGCCATCAGCAGAAGACCAGAGCGGAATGTACTTGGCGAGTAATCGCCCGACTTCTTCATCTTCTGTCGAAGCTTCGAAACCGCAACTTTACGATTACCACGTTCGAAATACCGGGCGTATAAATCTTCCACAGCCACCATCAGACTCTCGATGACTTCGCTCTGTACGAAAGTCGCTTTGTTAACTCGTTCCGACATGTATCGGAGTGGTGGTCGAGCATTCACGGCTTTGTCGTATTTTTTTGTTGATCTTACGGAACGCCGTTCGATTAAGATAAGCGTAACCCTTCAAAAGTTCGATTCCACGATAGAACTCCTGAAGGGCATGCTTCAGCTTCCTCTTAGCAGACCGGTACGACACGTCGTTTGGCGGATCCTGCCGCCGCATGAAATCCCTTCTGTCCTGGATGAACTCCCGGTCTCGGGCATTGATGTTTGGCGTTGCCATTTGCGCTAGTGCCTGGGAGTTTTTCCCAAAACGAGTCTTCCCAGTGAGTGTGTCTTTCAACCGGGCCCCGTTGAGCTTTCCAAACCCATTCATTCGATGATCCTCGGGGTCACTCCTATTCGCTGTCTTCTTGGCGGCCAAAACTTCCTGCATTCGTTGATCTCTCATAACGTGTAGTTGCCGACGGAGAACCTTGAGTCGATCAGTAGCCTCTTGTTCCTTCAGTAGATAAAACGAGTCGATTTTCTGAAGCTCGCCATCCAGGAACGCATGAAATTCGTCCTGTCGTCTTTCAACCTCAACAGCTGGGTCCAGCGCCGTTCTTTTGCCAAGAGTTTCAACTTCAGCATGAGACAGAACACGCCGGAGCAACTGCGAAGTCCGCTTGACCGAGCTGGTTTTAGTAAGGTCTCCGCCATCGGGACTGTGGGCGGTTGGTTGTCGAGCGAGCGGGGGGGATCTGATCCGGGGAGCCGTCGTTATCGGGAAGGGGAGGCGGAGCATCGAAGGTAGCACGGCGCGCTATTACCGGAGACGGAGTCTTGATGTCCCGACGAGCTGGCCTGGGGGGTATTAAGTCCTCTTCTGGGTCAATCGCAGGGTCTGGCAGCTCAAACGATCCTGATTCCGAGGCGGGTGCGACTTGGGGTGGAGTGGCGAGTATGCTTCCATAGCTGCCAACGGCGTCTGAAAATCGAGATCCTGGGGTCCTCAGTGGCTGTCGTTCACTCCTTGGAATTAATTTTGGGCGCGAACCTTGGGGGGCTGTCCTGGGGGTCCTGTTCAGGTTGGAAGGGCTGTTCAAACTTGTTGTCGCATCGATATTTTTGTCGGAGGCAGAGGGGGGCTAATGAATCCGTTGCGGCATGGGAGGAAGGAGGGGCGGGTTGCCGAAATGACGGGGTACGAGGGCTCCGATGGGACTTTTGAAGAGCACGAGTGATGGCCTTGATCTTCTTTTTACCACCCTATAGTGATGCGATTGTTAGCGCAAGCGGCGCTTCCCCGTGAGGGAGCATGACATACCTTATAGTCGAGATACTTTGCCCGCCACTCAGGAACCAAGTCCTGCTCGAGCTCTCTGTGCGAATGAATCAGCCACTGGAATGCCCAGCATCACGAGGGAAAGGAAAGAACCAACTTGGCGAATTTCATCTTGACTAGTGAGTCACCGTCATGGCAGGACTGTCTCAACGGATCGATGGATGACGAGCCTGAGGAGGGGGATGGGAGAGGTTGAAAGAGAGGAATGGAAAAGCTAAAACCTGATAGGAGGGGAAGTCAAAGCAGGATTGATTGCCAGAAACTTTCCAAGGTTAGGCGCGATCAGCCCGCGTTAAGAAGGGTGGAGAGCGCAACGGCGTCAAGATAAGCGGAAAAGTATGCTAAGAGGTAAGCTAAGATCTCCTTGACCTTCAGAAATACCCTAAAGCTCCCCACATTCAAAACAAGGTGTGCCTGGTCAAGAAACTGCAGAACAAAAGTTCACTTAGTCGGGATCTGCCAGTGGCTCAAGAAACGCCATCCCGTTCGGAAAAATAAAATCCAAAGGGTACTAGCCTCTAGGAGAGTATTTTAGGATTTGCGACAATCACCGAGCCCTATCGCGGCACGTGCGGAGAGAATGAGCTCATCTGGGCTGACGGAAGTCCTGAATTCGAAGGCATCAAGAGACTCCATTGGTTACAGATCTTCTCTGATTGGTCGCTCCAAGGAAGCTCAGAGAGGGTCCACTTGGTTCCGGATTCCGATGGGCCTGTGGAATCTGCACCTGCACCTGCATCACTTTCTCTTAGGGCCTTACGCGAACAATCACCCCGGAGAAAAAGTGGGAAAAAGCAATATACGGCGGAAAAATAAGAAAAAAGAGTGCCACTATCACTACCAATCAAATGCATCCACTCCAAAATTGCTAATAATTGATCCATCGTCTCGAAACTATCGAGGATCTACATTTGGCTCGGAATGCGGTGTACACCTCTGGAATGCTCTCGGCGTGTTCTCATGGCAATCACTGGCTAGAAGATATCTGACCCTGCAACCCTGAACCCCTCAGTTGGACTGCAGGAGACATTGCATACGTATTCCCTCAGGGCCCGACCCTACTTGCCCCGAAGATCGTGCAGAAGCTGGTGCATCCACACGAGGAACCCGCATACGACACAGCTATGATGCAACGAAATAGGACACCGGTATACGAAACCAAAAGGGAATACTGAATACGAGTAGTACTAGTATATATGTACGGATACTTTTTTGGTAATGCATTTCATTTCATTGCTCGATCCACTTTCCCGCCTCTGTACATATAACTCGGCGTACTCGTGGCCGGAAGATATCTCATCATAAATAAAAGGAATATTCGTCATGCTGTCCGAGGGAATGCTTCAAGTTCAAGTTTCCATTTACCAGCGGCGCTCCTGCTCGAAGCGGGGATGACGAGGGTAACGGGAGGGGTCGTACTCCTCAGCGCCGTGGTCGCGCTCGTAGTGCTCCTCGTACATGTGGTGGGCGTTCTTCTTGGCATGCTCGCGAGCCTTGATCTTGTCAACCTCATCCATGCCCTTGCTCTCGGCAAGCTTGTCGACCTCGGCGCCGACAAGGCCCATCAGGGCCTCCTTGGCGAAAGCGTGCTTGACAGTCTTGCCTATATGGAAAAAAATCAGATTAGAATGATAATTCCTCAATGTATTCTTGTGTGCGTGGGTTGCATCGCTCTATCACTTACCCTCCTTGCGCTGGTGGTCCTCGTAGGCCTTCATGCCGGCAAAGGAAGCGGCACCAGCAATGAGCTCGTGAGAGAACTTGCCCTCGTGCTTCTCGCCGCCGTACACCTTGCGGTGAGCTTCGTCAGATTCGCCTGAAAAGATACTCGTCAGCCCGGTTCATTTGTAAATTTGTTCCCGTATCCAGAAGGTTGTCATTTGCCTATGCATGCATAGGGCTATGCATAATACAAGGACGTCCTTGATGAATGCACCGGTATCTATGCAACATAGACAGGTGTGTCAAGGGAAACACGAAGGGAAGTCTTACCCCAGCCGAAAGCCATTGTGATTATATGAAGAGTGATTGAAAGGGTTTCTTAAAGATAGAGTGTGATGAGAGATAGAAGACTTCACTTTGGAGGGGGGGAGGGGAGGCTCTTATACCCAAAACACAGCTCTACAGAATACTCCAGAAAGGCTACGTATTCAGCTCAGGATATTCAGGAGCTTTCCCTTTTTTCTCCGTCTCAGCACGCGCTGACCCACCCCATCGGCGACCAGAGAGGGCTATGGCGGTTTCCTCGCAGTGCGTGTACTAATCTTAGGATTAGTCGCCAGGGAGATGGAGAAGAACCCCTCCATGATACGGCTGGACCACGGATCTGACTGACCATGAGCCCCTCCATGGGCCCGGTGGAGTGCGCAGATCGTGTCGACCTCACGGCCACAGTTGGGGGTCTGGGGCGCTGGGAGGAGGGGCAATGGGGAAGCTGATCCAGTAAAATTATAGACGGCGGTACATGCTAACCGACCACGTCGTATGAGGATCAGATCGGAGGGTCAATTGCGAGCGCCAAGACACTTGCTGGGGACCATGAGGGGAATGTCTTTCACAATCCCCGACTCATAGCGGCAAGAGAGATTGTAGGGGCTTAGAGGAACCTCGATGCAGATATTGGGAGGGGAAGGATAAAGCCGCCCAGGAAATATCATACCTAACCAAATTTGTCTGGTGGTATACTGGAGGTATACCCTACGCCTGCCTTTCTACAGAGTACTCGATATGTACACTGATGGCCATTAACAACAAAACAAACCAGGACCTCTCTGCCATACCAGAGCAGTATCCTCCGCCGTCTATTTCCGTCGAGTGGACCAAAGTGACCTCACACTCATCTGGAGCCAAAACGATACATCGTCCCAGGATGAACGAGTACGCGTCCCACAAGGCCCAATAAATCGCCGATCGGAATGAGCCAGCGGGGCCCTCTCAGCCCTACTCCATCGGCACAGGGCAAATCGCATGCACGAATTCCGCAGGCCTAACCAGATCGGCACTAGTGATACAGACTCGTACTTCGGGATACACGGTACGAAATGGAGCGTCGAGGGTGGGTGCTGTCGGAGGCCGGCGTTGCCGGGCCAAGCTTCTCTTGTCCGAGGCTTGTCCGCGCCCTATGAGGCCAGCTGTACCCAGATGGTTCTTGGCATTCAAAGCCACGTAAGTGGCGGTGAAGAGCTGGCTAGTAGTGGTAGACTAGGTGCAGGGACTGAGCACGAGTATTCGTTGTGTAAGAAGTCGACTCGTGCATAGGATGAGTACGGAGCACGATGGGAAATCACGGTGGAACCATCGAAACTCAAGGGTCCGAGTCGGCTAAATCTTTCTTCCCAATTGTTCCATACTCGTATAAACTTACATACAGTAAAGATAGTATAAATATAACAACAAATAATATACTACTGTGGTTCATTACGTATCGCACCGCCCCAGTGTGGCGTCACAGACCACTAGCCACACACCCATTCAAGTTCGTTTGGTGAATTGCAGTTGCAGTGTAGAGTAGTCCAGGGTAGAATTGTTGGATCTGTGACAGTCTATGAGAAGAAGAGACAGGGGCATGTGTTACCAGAATCATCCAGATTGAGTGTCATCTGCAGATGCCGGGATCGTAGCCCTACGGAATGATAGACCCTTGATCGTTCTTCACTATCATCTATGACGGCACTCCTTGTACTTCGAGCTGTAAAAAAAGATATTGATCATCGGTCATTGATCCCTCTGACCTCATTGGAATACCTCACAAGATGGGTGAAACAATTCGTGCCGCAGGCAAAGGGCTTCAGTGGGATCAACACTAGGCAGTGACTTTCTACCGACAGAGTAATCTGGTCGAGACATCCCTCCCACCTTCATCTCACCTCACCGGTCAGACCGCCCCATTCTAGTGGCTTGGCTGACGCTAACTGAATAACAGTGACCTCTTCCCTCAGCTGCCCGAAAATAGCCACACGCAGCCACACTCGCGCCCCGCTGTAGCTCCGACAATCCGGATCGCCAGGACAGGCCCCTACAGCGAAGAAACGCTTCATTCTTGCCTCGCAACCCTCCAACCGGCGGGCTTGGCCCTGCACACCTCCCAATTGAGGACAATCCTCCCACCACCACTTCAACATGCCCACCAAAGTCCCAGCCCCGTCCGACTTCCCCTCCCACACCGTCACCGTCACCCCATCCCCCGGGCCATCTCCTTCCCCCAACATCCTCCTACTTCTACATGGCCTCGGTGACTCCGCCGCCGGCTTCACAGCCTTCGGTCGTGCCCTAAACCTCCCGGAGACAACAGTTGTAACCGTGCAAGCACCGACCCCACTCCCCTTCGACCTCGGCGGATTCCACTGGGGCGACGATGTCGATTTCGACGCCAGAACAGGAGCTCTAGACATGGACGCCGGACTAACGCGCAGCACTCCGAAACTCATCGAGCTTGTGCGCGGCACCCTGGTCCAAAAATGCGGATATCGTCTGCGCGAAATCCTCATTCTGGGCTTTGGGCAGGGCGGCATGGCTGGTTTAACACTGGCCAGGGAACTGGGTTTGTCTTCATCCACCGCTAGTGCCGAGGAGAAAGAGCCTCTCGCCGGTGTCATATCCATCGGGGCACCGTACCCGCTATCGGGTAAGCGGTCCGGGTCGAAGAATCGTACGCCTGTGCTGTTGGTGTCGGGGAGAGACTCGGCTGTTGTTTCCGATGGCGCGGTTACAAGGACTAAGGAGGTTTTTGAATTCGTGGAACTCAGTCGGTATTCCCGGAAAGGCGATGGAATGCCCTCGAATCGGGATGAGATGTTGCCTGTTATGCAGTTCTTTGCCAGGCGGTTGCGCAGTCGCCAAGGTGTTCCTGAAGGTAGTGTTGAACTTGGATGATATACCCATATACCCATAGATAATCTTGAAGAAAATTAGACCAATATATCTCAACTATTACTACTCAATCTGTGTACCTAAGTACTAGTGTTGCATACATGCATATGTGTTGAAGGCGAGAAAACAATATAGAAGTCCAAAAACATCGAAAGAATGGACTACCCCAGCCACCCTCAAAAAATTATAACAGCATTTCATGAGATCTGGATAATCGAGCAACCATTCCCATTGCGATTTCTCGGTTTTCTCGGCATACTGGAATGGTCCTTTATTTGCTTGGCTTGGATTTTGAAAGTTCACTTTGCGGAAATATTCGGGTGCTTTGGCCAGTGTGACCATGGGGACATCGAATCTGCATTGCGAAAGAAGCCGCTTAGTTCCAACTCCATAACTCTTTCTATGAAAGGATATCGAACGCACAGATATTTGATTGTTGAGCTGGTCACTCGAGTATTCATCTGTCGAGCCATTTCATTTGGGCTATAAGTCCTGATATCATGTTCGACGACAAAACCGATTCTTGTTAGGACTCGTTGAATTCTCTCTAAATATAATGGACACTGGCATTAGTACTACATGAGATGGTCGCCTGGCTTGTTAGATGAGTATATATACCTGCGAAGAGAGAGTCGGCATTCTTTACTGTAGCTAGCTCTTCGAGCGTGGTTGGTCGATCATTCTCAGTGAGTGTTTGAAATAAGTCTAAGTCAATGGCAATCCGTATGCACATGAATTGCACAGGCTGCAGGGGTAAGCAAATGAAAGTCATCTTTGAAACCTTGAAATGTAATCAAGCCTCAAAAAAATAACAACCAACACACGTACTGCAAACCCGAGTTTGATCACTGCCTCATGTGGCTGTTCAAGCGCTTACACTAGTTCATGTGCGGTCTTGATAGCAGATACCCGATCTGCTTCATTCTTTTTCATTCTTCAGGCCATCCGTTGCCTGGCAGAGTTGTTTCATCAATGCATCTACTTTCTGGGCCTGGATATCTTCATGGGACATGGTTGTGACATCGAGATAAGTAGGACTCAAGCTTCAAGTTGATGAATGGCGTTGGAATCTTGGAATAACTAGTAGGTAGGTGTAATCATGCACAAGTGGTAAGAAACAGATAGTTATATTTGCACGCCAACGTCGTACAAGTCTTTTCAACTTCAAGCCGAAGTCCGACGAATAGCTGACATAAGGCATATGAAAACTACTAGTAATGCCGATTTTGAAAACAAGAAACCCGGGAAGGCGCACGACAAAGATAAACTTTTCGTATGATTACACAGACTAATCAAGTGATAATGATCTACCTAGATTGTAACCGACCCCGGGTCTTGTGCAATATGATCAACTAACGCCTCTGTGCGAGCCTTGCAGGTAAAGAAAACCGGCTACAAACACTAGTATAATGGTGAAGAACTTCCGCGATACCATCAATTGGTGTTTGAAATTGATTCTCCTAGATAATTGTGGCTGATGACATGAAATAATAGTACTCAAGGGGAAAGTTCGACCATCTGAGTTATCATTGTCTCTTTGGGGGTTTGAGCAAGAATTACAAAGTACACCGTACCACAAGTAACAGTTCTACCAGATCTCAAATTCGGGTTCTATTATTTAAAGTTGATTCCCTCGCCATTGTCCGACATGGTTCTGACACTCCAGAGCTGCCCAATGGCATAGGAGACATTTTCATCAGGGAGACTGAGTATGGGGCTACGAAAGCCATTCTCGAGCTAATCTTTTGATTTCCTTCGTATTTTCATAATCGCCGAGAATAATTGGAATCGAGATTCATTGAGAGAAGTGAACTTAAACTTGAAACTCGAAATCACCTTGTGATTGAATGGGTTTCCTAAATACCACTTTAGATACTAGTATTGTGCGGGTATAACTAACTACCTGCCTGCACTCGTTATACTTTGGCTCAGCGACCACGATCACCAACATTCAACTTCTCTCTTCCCAAGCGAGAAACATTCCTAAAACCAGCTCAGAATAAGAGAAATAAGAGATGAAGAATGAAAATGATTAGCACCGAAATATAAACGCAATACGATAACCCTTCAGCACAGCTCAAGTCCGCCGTTTCCAGCCCCCGAAAACACCAAACACGTGATCATGAATAATACACGGGGGAAGCTAACAGCTCCGACTCGGAGTCCCAGTCTACGCTCCGACTTCCCCCCAGACAAATACCCCATAAACCACAACCATGGAGCACGCCGACCCATTCCTCCAAGTCCAAGCGTAAGCGATTCACCCTCCCAGACAACCATCCACCAAAATACAAAGAGCACAAGCACAAGCTAACAGCCCCGACCAACATAGTGACGTCCTGTCAACGCTCCAATCAAGCCGCCCCCTCTTCTCCTCATACCTACGAATCCGATCTTTGGCCAAAAACCCATCAAACCCCGAACTAAAGCAAGCGCGTTCCGAGCTCGAAAGCACAATCACAGAACTAAGCGCCGACCTCGACGATCTAGTCGAAAGTGTCCGCGCAATCGAGCAAGACCCCTACCGCTTCGGCCTGGAATTAGAAGAGGTGCAACGCCGGCGCAAACTCGTCGACGATGTCGGGGCTGAAGTGGAAAAGATGAGGCTGGAGTTACAGCAGACTGTGAATCATTCTGCGGAAACTGCGTTGCCTAATCCGACGGAGTTTGACGTCGCCCTGGAAGAAGAGGAGCGGGAGCGACAGCAGCGTGGTGGTGGTGGGAGGGATGATGAGGATTATTACGCTTCTATGGAGCAGCAGCGGCAGACGGAGCTTATGCATGAACAGGATGAGCAGTTGGATGGGGTGTTTCGGACTGTGGGGAATCTGCGTGAGCAGGCTAGTCATATGGGGAGGGAGTTGGAGGATCAGGCTATTATGCTTGAGGAGGTTGATACGTTGGCTGAGCGGGTTGGGGGGAAATTGTCCAGTGGGATGAAGAGGATACGACACGTTGTTCGTGAGAATGAGGGTAAGTTTGATCGAGTTTACTTCTACTTCTACTGCCGTTCTACCGTTCTACAGGATACACTGGCATGTTCTGGGAATGGGTTGAATGGGGTGGGAATCATGAATTCAAAACTAACTTTTTTTTACCTAGATACATGGTCCTCCTTTTGTATAGCGGCGCTGATTTTCGCGCTCATCCTATTATTAATTCTCGTTATCATCCTGTGATAGTACATCAATGGCGGCGACGGGCACGCCACAATCACACGGAGCATGGCGTTTCATGGGACATCATTCAAATCAAATGATTTAGTTGCGGGCCTTCTTGGAGGGGCGCGACTCGCCCTCACCAGAGTCCTCCTCCTCATCCATGGCATCAAGCTCTTCCATGTCGATGTCACTCATATCAAGCTCATCGGCCAGATCGAAAGAGGCAACTAAAAAAATATAGAGTCAGCATTGGTTGCTTGCGCTAGGAATTGGGTTACGAGATGTACTCACCATAGTACTTCATGGCGTCGGTCCAGAGGTCCTCGGCAAGGGAGATAGCGAGCTCCTCACCGCTGGGGAAGATCTCAGCATCCTCGAGGTCATCAGCGAGCTCATCCATCTCCTCCTCATCATCCTCATCATCGGAGTCATCGTCACCCTCAACATCCTCGCCCTTGAGGATCTTGGCATAACGCTCATCGTCCTCCTTGTTGGCCATCTTGGACACATCGGCGGAGACGTCACGACCACGGTAACCGAAGAAAGCGAAGAAGCTGGTGCCGGCAGGGCTCTCGGGGTCCTCATCCTCGTCATCCTCCTCCATCTCCTCATCATCCTCCTCAGCCTCAACCTCGGCAATCTTCTTGACGAGAGCCTCGAACTCGGGCAGCTTCTTGCGGTCACCACCCTTCTTCTTCTCAGCATCGAACAGGTTGCAGGTAGCATCGAGGAGACCCTTGGTCAGATCCATGTCCTTCTTCCAGTTGATGCGGACGGGGTCGGAGACGAGACCCTCCCAGGTGCGGCGCTTACCCTTGGAGGTACGGATGATCTGCTTGCGCCAGTAGAACTCCTTGACGAGCTGGGAGTTCTCGAAGAAAGGGTTCTCTTCACCGGTCTGGAAGTCGAAGATGAAACGCAGAGAGCGGGGCTCGCCGTTACCCTGGGCATCGACCTCGAAGCGCTCGACGGTCATGTTCTTCAGGGCAGCGCCGAGGACGGCGGCATCGGTGGGCAGGATGAACTCGTCGATCTCAGCGGGGGGCGCTGGAGAAGACGCGGATCCAGAAGTCGCTCTGGACATCGGGGATGCTGATGATCTCGTTGCGCTTCTTGAAGAGAGGCTGCAGGAGGGGAACAGACTTGCGCACTGTGGAGGGAGAGGGGTTAGCCAGGATTCATTTTAGGTCACTTTTTTTAGAAATAGAGCATCGGAAATCAATTCCACGAGGGGATTCCCATTCAACGAAAGGGCCATTGCAGAGTTTTTCTTCTTCGTTCTCTTTATTGTATGATCTGAACATCGTGCAAATGCCCCTCCCACCGTAACAGGTCACACGGCGGGGTAGATGGAAATAGGATGGAAAGAAGGGGATTGGACATACGCTGCTCAACCTCAGCACGAATGAACTCCTCCTGGAGGTGGGAGATCTTCTTCTGAGCATCCTTGGGGATGTTGGGCATCTCGACGCGGTCCATGAGAGACTGATCTTCACCGGACATGATGTTAAAATGTGAAGGTGGGGTAGCTCAAAAAAAGAAGTATGAGATGAGGTCGGAGTAAGAGTAAAGGTAAATGTGAAAGAGGAGCAGGAAAGTGGGAAAGGGTATCAAGATATAGTCAGGAAGAGAGAGATGGGAGGGAAAAGAATCGAGGGATAAGGAAAGTGGAAGACGCTAGCAGAAAAAAAAAAAGTCCAAAGTAAGAAATTTCCGGGAGATCACAGCTCTTTCCATTCGCATACGTGGGGGGGGGAGGGACAAGCTGGGCCAGACGGGTTGGTGTACTTTGGGGGACGGGAAGGTACTTGCTATGGTTGCCTCGTTGCTAGGGAAGGTGCGGGGCAGTCGAGTACCTCTGAGTATCTCTGGGTATTTGTAAGTACTCTTAAGTACCAGAGTGACTATGTAACTGCTAGCTTGGCTGTCCCGCCACTCAACTTCAGGCGGTCTGTCCTGCACGGACGTCATGGTGCCTGAGGCGATGGAAGTTTTTTTTTTTCTTCTCTTTTGCTTCCGTTTCCGTTTCCACTACTTTATTGGGTTTAGTGTTAAAAATGTGATAATGGAAGACTACTAGAATACTTTAGTCTACCTTGTGTACAAAAGAGGAGCTCAGATAGGTCCAAAAGCCACTTCCGTTCTCTCAGCATACCATGGTACCTGCCCCACGTTTCCTTCTCTGCCCCTCCATAGCTTCAAATTCTACTTCACTCGTCCCATACCAGTCACCATACGCGTAAATATTGGCTTGGATAGGACTGCCAACATTCAACAAATGTGGAGTTCGTGATCTTGCCTGAGATTGGTCTCGAGTCGAGGGTGGTGCCCACTTGGGCACCCTCGCAGTTCTTCCGTGAGAGGCGGTAAAAAGTGGCACTCTATCAAGTTGAAGTCCAAACATAGGTTCAGCTGAGAGCATGCGCACGAAGCTAACTTTGAACTCAGATACAGACACCAAGAGTACTAGTAGTAAAGGAAGCAGAAGGAATAAGAATTGATGACTTCTAGGTACCAGTACTAGTAGAATATTTATTTAGCCTCGCCAAGATGCTTCTTCAGAAATGGCAGGACCTTCTCGAGCGCAGCCTGAACAGCCTTCGGCTCGTCATAAAGCTGATAATGCGATACACCAGGAAGCACCAGCAGTTCCTTCTCTTTAGAAGCAGCACGGCCATAGATCTCATGACCGTCACGATATGCGCCAAACCCGCCGGGAATGTCGCCAACAACGGCGATAAAGGGACGAGTCATGATGACTTCCGCATAGTTAAAAGCATCCCACGCAACCGCGGCGCTATTGAACGAAAAAAGACCGCTCGTAGCACCGCAAGGTTTCTGACCACGGCTAGTTTTATAGTACTCCGTAGCCTCGATGAGATCAGGATCCGAAGTCATCTTCTTCGCCTCCTCGACAGTCGGAGGAAGGTATGGAGAAACAAAACGATCAGCACCCTGAGATTCAAGGGTTCGCTGTTTATCCATTTTCTCAAGAGAACCGACAGGATCAAAGCCACCAAAGGATTCCCGAACCAACCGGCCAAAGTTCACTGCTGTGATGCCGACGCAGCATTTGAGGCGGTAGTCGGTCATAGTAGCGTTGAAAGCATAGCCGCCACCCCCGCAAACTCCCAATACGCCAATACGCTCAGCGTCGACATATGGAAGCGTTTGAATGTAATCTACCACGTAGCGAAAGTCGGGCACGCGTAGTTCGGGGTTCTCGACGAACCGGGGTAATCCGCCTGAGGCACCTTGGAAAGATGCGTCAAATGCGACAACCACGAGGGATTTTGACAGGCTTGATGGTCTCTGGCATGGTGGTAGTTCGGGCTTGGCGGATAGCGTATGAGGTATGATTAAGTATACTCAGGTGGTTGTAATTGTTTTGTTGCTTTGTCTTGATGAGCTTGCCCGTATGCGCCTTTTAAATGAGGGGAGAGTTTTACTCTTGCGGCTGCGGTTCGGACTGTTTCCCCGGATTTAAAGGTGGGGGCGCTCGCTGACAATCATCGGTATTCATTCAAGTTCATAAAGTTTTGTACAAAATCGTTAGACTCTGCCGCGGGGCGTTACTACGTTTTCAAGAATTGTCATCCAGCTCATTCATAGCATTTGTTGACACAAAGTTCCCCACAAAATCACCATGACATCGCGGTACTCCCGGTCCACCAGGGCGACTTGCCCTATACGGGTTTGAGGTAAGGAATCACTGGACTAGTAAGCTATGGAATCTATATTTCACCGAATGACGTAAATTGTCACCGAAGCTGCAGAAGCAAAAAAAAAGCAAAAAAGCAAAAAGGCCATATTATTCGACCCTGAATAGACCTCGGTATAGATTGTGGGGACCGCTGCGGATTAAAATCTATTCATGAGAGTTACAAGTGCTACATAACACCTCTGCATAATCCATAGATCTAAAAAGAATGCCCGATAGTACCCATTGTACATGCTAAGAATTTTCATATACCAAACTATACGCCCGCCTCTACTCGGACCAATGTGAAAGCAATAGAAAGCCGGAATTGCCTGGACGTTGATCACTAACGCCACCAATAAAAAGGAGCATTGCAGATAATAGTAGCTCAAAATAAGCCATATAAATGAGAGGCTATGTCGCCTGATAGCAATGAAAGGCTATAGGTCTCCATTCTTCCCAATTGAATCGCGTTCTGCTTAAACACTAGCCAACGAAGTGCGTACACTTAACCATGTTGTGATGCGGGGACGCACCTCATGGACTCTTTGTATATTCGGACAATCTTGAAAGATCCCCGTTGGAGCTCTGTGAATACATTTCCTGCTCATTGCTTTATCAATTGGGTGTTTCGTCACGCCGAATGTACCGGGCTCTGCCGGAGTAGTAGATTGAGCCCACATTGAATACCAGAGTACGAACCGACAAACCTAGCAGCCATATCGGACTGCTTGACAAAGTCTTTATTTATAATACCAACTTTGGAAGACTGATGGTGTCCATTGGCCTAAGAAGGATATCAAGATGGGGAATTGATGGGTGAAACACCCAAGCGAGTCCTGGCAAGCCGTTCCGATCGGAGGCCAAGCGATGGCATAGGCTATCAAGCTAACTAAGAGGGCACAAGGCACACAATCAGCCGAAAACCTGGGCAGGGTACATCTGCAATGAGCGTTTCATGCGCGAAGCCACCGTTCGGTGGGGGTACTTGCCACCAATTCACCCTGCACGACGAAACGAACCACCATCCAATTGCGGAGTTCACTACCCTAGTATCCCATCCCTACCTTACCCTATAAAAGAGCAACGCCTTATCACTGATAAGCCCCAGTCATAGGATTTGCCACCATGTGGCAATCCAGCATGGTTGCTTTTTCCGACCCTCACAGCTTAACCTTCTTGAGAGGGAAGCGGGCCCTGAAGAAACGCAATCTTAGCATGACCTTAATTCAACCTTATCTGACTCTATCCGACCTGCATGCGGACTATACCCTAGTCCCCAGAACCGTGACGTACCACGACCCTCCCCCTTCCCCCATTCGACAGACCAATTGCTGCGATCGCCCATCGCTCGTGAGTATCCGGATGCGGATTATTGGATCATATACTTGTGCTGCGGGCGAGGCTGGGCGCTGGGCTGTTATTGGTGGGATAAGGATCCTATGCGATGGGTGTTGATAAAGGGATGCAGTCTGAGTGGAGGATTTGATTGACGAGGATTTGGGGTGGGAATGTCAATGCGTGTGTCACTGTGAGACGTCCTTGGCTTGTCTTGCGAAATACTCAACTTGAATCCTATGAGGGAGATGGAGGGGGGAAAAGTAATAACCAAGGAAATCGGGGAGGGCCGCCTAATTGATATGGAGAAGTCGACAGCCTGAGATCGACAGGGGAATCTAGAAAGGGTAAAATGGTAAAAGTAGAACACAATAAAAAACCGAAGTTGATCATGAGCATGAAAGTCGTAATGTCTCATTCAAATATTTTTTTTTCCAGAGCCAGATTTCCCATGGGCATTGGGAGAATCCGCCCGCAAGCAACAATAAAACTTTTTTGAGGTGGCCGGGTCAGAGATAACGATGAAGTCTCCTTCGGCCGTCTCCGGGGCATCCTTCCAATTAAGAACAAGTAATAGAAGGAGAAAGAAAAGAAGAAGAAGTCATGATATCCCATATAAATTTCCCATGCCCGTTCGCCAACAATGCAATGATTAGAGCAGAATCACAAAAACAATCGCGAGGCAGGTTTCCACATGCATGGACATCATCACCATGCACGTCTGCCGGGGATAGAACTGTCGTAAAAAAAGAAGAGAAAAAAAAGGAGGAAGAAAGAGAGGGCGAAGGAAGGGGTTGAAAGAGAGAGGAAGAGGGAGAAGGAGGAGGGCAAAGAATCAGAGACTATGGACTAGACTAGTCTGGACACCACTATAGCATCCAATCCAGTCCATTAGCCTCTTCTTCCACAGGGAAGACTTCACGCGCATATTCCTCCATATCTCTCCACCCCTGCCACAAATGCCGAGCTTCATCCGTCACGCGTAGCGAAACCACCCCACCCGGTCCTTGCATCATACCCGCACCTGCACCCTTTCCACCCGCCGGGCCAAGACCCTTGGGCGAGCCGGCGGCTGGCTGGGAAAACTCGGGCTGTGGGAAGTAGGGCGCGTTATCTTCACCAAACAGTAGCTCGAGGGTTTCGAGCTGTTCCCGGTAGCCGGGTGGGATGTTGACCTTGATTTCGATCTTGGGGACGCGAATGTAGTTGCAGGGCCGATTAAGGGCTCGCTGGAAGGCGGCGCAAACTTGATTTGGAGAGAGAGTTTCGAATGTGAGGGCGATTCTGTGATGGGGGTGACGTTGGTCAGCTTCGATTTTCTTCTTCTTTTTCGTACTTCATTCTGTACCCCTCTCCCTCTGATGGAGGGGTAGAGGGGCACTCGGGAAGGATTGCCGAGGTTTCGGAACTCACCGATGACCATTCCATTTCTTAGGGCCGTCCTTGAAAATCTGTAGGAGAGTTGGGCCTACGTCGTGCTCGGCATCTAACCAGGGTAGTGGGGTATCCGGGTCGAAGGGGGCGCGCCATTCGAAGCTGCCGTCCTGCAGGATCTCCATTTGGAAGAGCGGATAAGGAAGACTGGTGAAGTTATTGTTGTAGATTCCGGCGTAAACGAAAGTAGAGGGCATGCCTAGCTGGCGCACGTAGTTTTCGACGGTGAATTTGGGAGCCCACTGGGGTACGGCGGGCCAAGGGCCATGAACGGAGTGATCCGGCATGCTGCTATAGATGTAATGCTGGATGGTGCCGGCGCGTTTGGCGGCGTCGGCGAGCGCGCGGCCGATAGCGACCTCGTCACCGGCTTGCGACATGGTATTGATAAAGGCATAATTGGCGCCTTGAAAGAGGGCGTCCATCAACTCGGGGTTGTTGAGAAGCGGGCCGTGAATGAGGGTGACATTGGGTAAACCGCGGAGCTCATCGGCGACGATACCCTTGAGCGAATGGATCTGAGCGCGTACGGAGTATCCGACAGCGGAGGCGACACGAATGAGCGAGGCAGTTTGCCGGCCAGCCGCGTTGACGACGGCTATTGTCTTCTGAGGTTGTGTCATGGGGGGAAATATCAGAATGTCGGAGGGATATACGGGAGAGAAGCCCTTTTCACGGGGGAGGAGGAGGAGGCGGAGGAAGAGGAGTGAGGGAGGTGAGAAGGGGTTTGTAGAAGGGGGGGGTAAGGAAGGGGAGGTTCAATAGAGAGTGGATCTGGGAAGGGGAGGGTAAAAGATAAAAGAAAATCCGGAGTAAAGGCCTTGGCGAGAAAAAATGGAGGTGAGCGAGTTGCGACGGGACAGTGGGGTACCTTGAAGGAGAAGAGGGAGGGGGGGGCCATGGATCAAAGTGGTATGTAACAAGAATGGCTTGCTCCACCGATTAGGCGATGGAAACAGTCATGGATCTGCGTGAAAATTCAATTCTACTAGGGGAGGAGTATAGGTACAGAGTATACTTTGACTTTTAGTGGTAGTATCACTATACTATCACTGTACACTTGACACTATACACTTATGCCACCATACAATATCTACTAGACTATAGTAGATGCTATAGTAGATACTACGACTTCTACCACCACCACACCACCTCTCCTACTGTAAACCACCACCTATCTACTCCTCTACTCATACTCCCTCTCCTTCCCACATCTCTATTCTGTACCCATCTTCCACGCACCTACCATGACACCATCGCGCACGCCTTGGGGATTTCCTTTACGTAAATCGGCCTCCAGTCGGCTCCAGTTCGCTCCAGTTTCGCTCCAGTCTCGCTTCAGCTCAACGGGATCATCCTGGCCACCCGTCGGGTTCCAGCCTGATAGGCGCACATTACCGGCTACCCTTTAAGCTATGCCAAGCCGCCTGGATTGCCTGGCCATGATTGACATGGCAAAGACATGGAGACACTGACGAGGTTCAATGCGAAAATCCCGCAGCATCCCGACCAACAATCTGCCAGGGGCGGTCTCACGTGGTTCCAGGTGGATTCCTGCGCCTCCAATTTGACAAAAGCCACGGGGTAATGGGTACTGGCCAGGGGGCATCACCAGATCACCAGACTTCTTCGTGGCAAGCTTAGCCAGGGCTAACGTCGGGATTTGCTATTCTACTTTGAGCAGGTCCTTTGACAGTCACCGCTTAATGTTGACACCCATCACACAGCATTGATTATTCGTATATGTACGGAGTACTCCGTACAGACTACCATTACCATCTAATCTACCCCAAGAATAAGAAAAAGAAATTATAGACGCCACTGCAATGTATACTCCATTTGAGGTAGTATACGGGGTACGAGTACTACTAATCGATGAGGCCATCAATGGCGCCAACTTGCCGAGTCCGACACAAGCAAGGCGTGACCCCGGACAGATCACAGATCACACACACACACAGACCACCGACCACCGACCACCTTGAACTACGTCCAGACAGCAGCCTCAGTCCTTATCGCAGACATTTCCCCACTATTCGGATGGTTGGGGCCTCTCGAGCCCCCTCGAGCCCCCCCCCGGCGGCAAGGCCCGATCTCCGCGGAAGCAGAATCCCTCACCCAATGGTGTCCCTCCGTGCTGGCGTGATCGGTGCGCTTATTCTAGACCATGATGTGCGAACCCGGCCATGGCGATTTGCCAGGAACATGGCTTCTTTCTTTCGTTGATGCGGGAAGGTTGGATGAGAAAAGGGGCATGTGAGCATGCGAGCATCTCCTAAAAAATAATGCGATCAAGCATCCGACTTCACGGTGCTGACCCAGCCATCGCCCGATTCCACCCGTCGCCGCCACCATCCCCAACCCCAACACCTACACCTACACCACCCCTCATATCCTCATCCAGTTCACGCTGACTGTTTTCTCTGGGGTCAATGCCCGCCAATCCCCAGACGCCAGGTCGTCGTCGAGCTAGTAGTTCTGCCGCCGGTCGCTCATCCGAATGCAGGTGCGCACCGGACTTGCGCAGAAGTAGTACATGCTCCGAGAGTCCTGCGTTGGCGGCCAGGAACAGCGGGGTACGTCCGGCGCGATTCCGTAGATGGACCGACCCGCCTTGCGACAGCAGGAAGTGAAGGATTGAGACGGAAGGTGCCGTCGATGCAACATGCTGGATGATATTAGCATGGGATTATTTCCTTGACAGTTATCGTGATAGCGACGGGTATTTCTAAAGTTTAAACTCA